CTGAATTTTAATAAGAAAGACCATAAAATGCATTTTAATCGTTTTATTAGATTATTTGGGAGCTTAGGGGGCATTTCAATTGAACTCGCTTTTCTGGAAAAAAAAGCAAGGCTATAGCCTTAGGAAAATTGCAAAAAAACTCGTCCAAAACCTCTATCACTTTTGAAAGAATTGCTGCTGAATTCTAATAAGAAAGACCATCAAATGCATTTTAATCGTTTTTTAGATTATTTGGGAGCTTAGGGGTCATTTCAATTGAACTCAGTTTTCTGGAAAAAAAGCAAGGCTATAGCCTTAGGAAAATTGCAAAAAAACTGGTCCAAAACCTCTATCACTTTTGGAAATAGCTCCTGAATTTTAATAAGAAAGACCATAAAATGCATTTTAATCGTCTTTTTAGATTATTTGGGAGCTTAGGGGTCATTTCAATTGAACTGGCTTTTCTGGAAAAAAAGCAAGGCTATAGCCTTAGCAAAATTGCAAAAAAACTCGTCCAAAACCTCTATCACTTTTGAAATAATAGCTGCTGAATTCTAATAAGAAAGACCATAAAATGCATTTTAATCGTTTTATTAGATTATTTGGGAGCTTAGGAGGCATTTCAATTGAACTCGCTTTTCTGGAGAAAAAAAGCAAGGCTATAGCCTTAGGAAAATTGCAAAAAAACTCGTCCAAAACCTCTATCACTTTTGAAAGAATTGCTGCTGAATTCTAATAAGAAAGACCATCAAATGCATTTTAATCGTTTTTTTAGATTATTTGGGAGCTTAGGGGTCATTTCAATTGAACTCGCTTTTCCAGAAAAAAAGCAAGGTTATAGCCTTAGGAAATTTGCAAAAAATCTCGTCCAAAACCTCTATCACTTTTGAAATAATAGCTGCTGAATTCTAATAAGAAAGACCATAAAATGCATTTTAATCGTCTTTTTAGATTATTTGGGAGCTTAGGGGTCATTTCAATTGAACTCGCTTTTCTGGAAAAAAAGCAAGGCTATAGCCTTAGGAAAATCGCAAAAAAACTCGTCCAAAACCTCTATCACTTTTGAGGTAATTGGTACTGAATTCTAATAAGAAAGACCGTAAAATGCATTTTAATCGTCTTTTTAGATCTTTTTGGAGCTTAGGGGGCACTTGAATTGAACTTCAATTTCTGGAAAAAAAGCAAGGCTATAGCCTTAGGAAATCGTAAAAAAATTGTCCATAAACTTTATCATTTTTGGAAAAATGCCACTGAATTCTAAAAGAACAAAAACATAAAATGCATTTTAATCGTCTTTTTAGAATATTTGGGAGCTTAGAGGGAATTTGAATTGAACTTCCTTTTCTGGAAATATAGCAAGGTTATAGCCTTAGGAAAATCGCAAAAAAAATTGTCCATAAATTTTTCTTGTATTTATGCATATTTTACGCATTTTTGACAAGTCATGTCATTAAATCAGTTTAGAGCGATAGGAAGATCTAATAGAACAAGCTTTAATTTGAATTTTTCGAACAAATCTGGTACTTTCACCTTGTTTTCTAGTTTTGATAAAAAAATATGATCAAACAGCTTTTGAGAAGGTCCGGAAATGGAAGATGCACGTTGAAAGGTGAACATTATCCAGCCCCCCTTGAAAACTTTATTGTCTTGATTTGTAGGCCTGATTCGCTAAACATCTGGCAAGGAATGACGTGAGTGAGGATATTTTTACTCGAATCTACTTGAAAAATGTCTGTCGAATTATTCATTATTACGGTATAGAGATTGGCTGTAGCACGTTTTCTACTGTGAAGAGTATCAGACGAGATGTCTTAAAATATTTGCCTTTTTCAAAGCCACTTCTAAACATTATTTCCATTTTACTAAGAGGAATATGATCGTCTGATTACCTGGTTGCAGTATTGGAAGTTGATGCAAGGCTGGTAAAACACAAAGCAATATGAAAGCATGTTGGGTTCGCAAAATTTCATGGTCTTTCCTTTGTATCCTATAAAAATACTAAAAAGACAAATTGACACTAATAAAACTAGTGAAATTTAAAAAAGTTACCAATAAATAACATAAATAATGCAATCGATATAATCTACAAAATACAGTTTATTTCATAATTTTTTTTCAGGCAATGATGTCAAAATTAAAATACTCTTAAATAGATCTTGATGAAGATTTCAACCTATGACGTGAGCTTCTACGTCACTCAAAAAATGATAGATTTTAGCAAGTTTTGTAAACTACAAAAGCGCTGTGGGAGAATTGATGTAATGAGGGGGGAGGGCGCGCTCCCAAAGAAGCAAATATCTTGGAGAGAGATGTTTAAGTGGCCAAAAAACAAAAAATTGGGCTTTTACAAGTTACGATTTACTTTTAAGCGTGCTCCAGCTAGACAAGCACTACCTAAATAAACTAGACGTACAGTATTATCTGCAAACAATATGGACAAATCACGGAACATTTCAACATTTCAGAAGAAGCCCACTAGAGAAAAGGAATGGCCAGCCATATGATTGATAAAGCATTTTCTGACCCAAAGCATAGGTTACTAAGGCCCAAAACTTAGCCTGTTCGATAAACTCTCTGCTCACAACATAAATACTACCACTTTCTTCATCTTTCCTCGCTCAATGCTCTTCTGTAAAAACAAAAAAAATGTATGTGTCAATGACAAAATTGTTCATGGTCCTAGAAAAATACATGATCTTAGAATGAGAGGAAAGGCATTCGCAGATCTTCGCAAACGAGAATGATCCTGCTAAATTCTCTAGACGGATTATCTCGGATTGTCTATTTCAGAATCACGAACTTCAGGTTCTATTTAAAAAAATCTGACTTCAATTGCTAGATTAAATTATATTGAATAGTATTTTGGATTTGAAAAAGTAGTAATCGAAGAAAAAAAAGGAATATAACATAGAGTAAGACATGACTCACCGAATATTGCGAAAAAATGGGGTCCTTTGGGCGTAATCGTACTGCCGAGTTCCTACAAAGCTGACTTGAACCTCGTCTTTGCTCTCAGTGATGATTCCATTGTAAATATTAAAGGCAGCTATAAGACAACATAACACGATGGGACCAACAATAGCACCTTCTAAACCAAACCAGTACATTCCCCCGGCTACAGCTAAGCCAGTCAGGTATGGGTGTCCTCCGCTGAAAAAAAACGGAACAGAGCATAAATCATCCAGGCATGCTTTATAATAGCCATAACAATCCGAAGAGCTAGATTGTTGCATACATAAATGGAGACCTGCTTGCAATGCTGGAGCAACATTATCATAAAAATAGGGACGGATTTAACGGGGGCTTGTAGGAGGAGGAACTACCAACGTAAAATGTAAAAGGAGAAAAAGCAGAAGAAAGAGGTCAAACAAGGTGAGAATGGATCGGTTGAAGAGAAACCAGTCATAAAAACAGAGGATAAAGAAGGGGAAGGAAAAAAGAACAAGAATAAAGAGAAGAAGAACACTGAACACGATGAGTAATCATATTTGATTTTATCATGTTTTTCGTTCACATATTATTATCTTTATGTTTTTCGGTAAATTTTGCTTCGATTCAGTTAAAATCATTTTCTGGTTGTCGGTAGAAACAAAATGACACAAAAAGTCCTTTAGTTATCTTCTTATCTTCTTTATTTAAAAGCTAAAAACTGAATTTTAAAAATAGGCTTTTTGATTATTTTCCAGTCATTTGAAGTGTGTGGCACCAGAATCAAATTATTAACTAACACCCCCCTGCCCCAATCCTTGCCGCTTAAATCCATCCCTGTATTAAAAATTGTCAGTATAAAGATCATAATAACCTATAAATAGCAAATATGACAAAAAACTCTCTTCAAGAAGCCTCGAAGGAAAACATAAAAAACCTGGTCAAACACAATGAACTCAAGAAACAATTAGATAGAAATTAGCTTGCTACCCCAAATTCTTTCAAAATTGCAGAGAATATTACAAATATTTAGAGAATATTTCAATATAAAAAATATTCAACTGGCTGGTAGTACAGTTGATCGATACAAAAAAAAAGTAGCTAATCTACATAATGTACAATATAAAATACGAGTCAGCACGAACAAATTTTATGTTTATTGCTGTTTTGGTAAAAGGGTGTACGTATAATCAATTGCAATTAAAAAAAAAATTAAAGAGGTTGGTTTAAGAATCAATAGCTTTCTAAAATATATTTTACATACCCTGATATTTCACTGTATATTGCAATATCAACAACATAAGTTGGCAGAAAATGAAGAGCGATGAGCAAAAGTGCAAGCAACTCCTCATCGTGCACAAGCCAAAGCTCCAACGCACCAGGTATGGCAGCGAAGTAGGTGCCGATGAATGGTATGGCTGCTAGCACGGCGGCTAAAGCTGGAAGAAATGCAGGTACGTATGAAAATAATATCCCAAAAGACTTGAATATACCGAACCTATTCTAAATTTCTAGACTTTCTTTTAAGGTTGGCAATAACTGTTTTTAGAAAAGAAAAGAAAAGAAGTCTATATCATAAAGCAATCAACATGATTCTTCTCGCGGCAACAGATTCAAAGTGGAACGATATCTTATCTGTGATTAAAAGGAATGTTTTTCTTTGTGTTTGATGTGAAGCATAGTGAAAATTCTGTGTATTCTCGTCATAATTTCGGAGCCTATTCACTGAAGCAAGGTTGCAAAATCCAGGAAAGATGTCAACCTTGAAAGAAAATCTTATTACAAAACCTTCCTCATTTTCAACTGGCTGAAGATGAGCGTGATCAGTAAATTGGGGGTACTCAATTACTCTTGATCCCCTATTTCTTGCAACTCTGTTTTTCCAAAAGATTCTACAAAACTGTAGCTTGTTTTCCATTATAGAATTATAGATATTTTTGAGACAGATGTAAATTTAAATGCTTATGTTTATCAATGTAACAGCGTGTCATCCGTAATTTGAATATATGAATTATAAAAAGTTAACGACCTAGTTTCACAGTGCAAAACAGTTCTGCAAATGCATTCATACTAATAACGATGAGGTTTATAAATACTATTTTATTTTTTACTTTTTGTCTGACTGTATTTTGAAAACCAAAATACAATGCAATTTCTTCAACTTCTTCATGTTTCAGAATGTTTGGCCACCTTCCTCAATTTCTTCTTGTCTCTACAACCTTCCTCCGGCCAGTGGCCTTGGAACCATGATGCTACTAATTCTGCAAGGCTGTAGTGGCTATAGTATGGCTATAGTGTTATTGCAGATTTGTAAGAATAACACTGACTAAATTAGCAGGAACATAACACATAGCATACCTGAAGGGATGAAAACAATATTCAGTCCAAAGATACTGTGCATCATCCACGTGTAGAACCCATAAAATATAGCCATCTTTAAAGTAGCGCCAAAAACATCCCTGACCGCGATGTTAACATATTCGCTGAACCTCGTTCCCATACTGACACCAGATATCCATTCAACAACTTTGTACTGGGAGCCAGATGTACTCAGTAGGTAGAACAAGGCTGTTAGAAACACGACCTGTGGAGCCGACACATAAAATCTGTTAGAGCCTGAATGCAAAATGTTTTTTCGGCAATATCAATTCGAAAGGGCTCTGCAAAGATGACATAGGGGCAGCAAGAGAAAGGGGGGTTTGATATTCAAAAAGATTTTGGCAGCAATGTATGAATCCTGATCTTTATTTAATAAATAACAATAGTTAAACAGTGTCTAAATTAATAAATCAAGCTCTTAGAAAAGCCATTTAATCTTTAAAAAAAACAATTTTATCAAGCCCTCTCTATACTTAACCAGAAAATCTCATTTACTCAAAAAACGGTAAGTCTCAAGGCTTCCGAATTCCAAACTTAACCAAGGCCTTTTTCAAAATGCAAGCATTTTACTGAATTCCTATTCGTTTGCATAAAATTTCAATACAAACTGGTTAAGCCTGGGAACAACACTGTATCTACATATCAAGATTACACGTAGAGTAGGATTTTGTATCAAGTGCAATAAGCATCTATTTCTTCTTGCAACATAGTTTAATTATTCTCTTGCATTTTCAACTTGCTAATAAAAGAAAAACTTATGACGTCAATATCTTACTTGAGTTGCATATTGAATTTACTATCAGGAAGATTTACGTTGAAACAAAATTGAGTTCAAAACCAGTTTCTTGCACGACAAAACATGGATTTACCGACCCATTAGTTATGTCACATTCAATAATATCAGCAGCTCATTGTCATCACGTTATTTAATTACGAGCACTATGGGACATGTTCGTAAATCTAGATAAAAGCTTTTGGATAACCATGAACTTACCGATGAAAGTCCCGCGTTTAGTATGTACGTACCACTGAAGAAAATGGTAGAGAAAACAGTTGTAACGATGCTGAATGCAAGATTGACATTGCCTTTCAGAATCGACCAAAGCGACTCCAAGAGCTATGAGCAAAACATGTTAAGTTACACGGAAAGTCACACGAACACTGAGGGCTGATTAAGAAATTTAAACAAAACATACCAATTTGGATTTTATTTCTGGAATCAAATGGTGTGTGAATGTGAGCAAAATTGATAAAACAAGTTATAGCTCTTTTATATGCTTTGGCTATTGAGAGTAGTTGTGTCGAAACGGGCACATTTGTAACAGATGGGGGTTCAAGGAAACTTTGGTCCATAACTTTTGTCACACACAAGGTACCTTAAGCAAATATAATACTAAATGAAAGATCTCATCAGGAGGATTCGAAAGGTGGTGCTGGTTTTGGGAGTTTTATCTATCCTTACTTGACAATTTTTACCGTGCATTGAAAGTCACATTTGTCATATCTATCGTTGTATTTCTGCTACTATACGGGGGTTATACCGGACAATAGCGAGTCAACTTAGAACGAGCATATATTACTTCAGGGTTTTATTTCTAAGCATCCATTAACTTGATCTATAAACACAAGTGATTTAATATAAATTACTTGATAGATCGATAAAAAGTAATCTATAATGAAATGAAATCGATTCATAAGAAATCAAGAAATTTTGATTCAGTCACAGTAGGTTTTCAAAAAGATTTCAATAAGGACAAGTGTAACTTACAGCTTTCAAAGTGTCAACGTTTTCTTTCACAATGGAGAAAATTGCACTGACATCAAAGGAGTCGTTCCCCAAAAATAGCTTTTTAAGATGATCAAATGAAAAACTTTGTCTTCGACTGTTCAAGATCTGGTTTGTTGAAGCTGCCTTTGAGCTTTGCTGAGAACTATTCTGGAAACATAAATACTACGAATTAATCAACCAAACATGTCGTTATAGATTCAGTAGTTAGAAATGAAGGTATTATTGCTCTTGGATTGGGTTCATGTCCCTCCAAAAATTGGTTCGGGTTCATGTCCTTAAAAATTCTTTGTTTTCAATGAAAAATCTCATCTGTTCTATTTTTCTCAAACAATGATGCAACTCTGACTTAGTAGTACAAAGTCACAGAAATGATGAGTTGTGGTCTTATGCAAAAAAGGATTTTAAGAATATTCTCCACGGGTATTTGACAGGTCATAGATTGAAGCAAACAAACAAACAAACAAATACGGGTTGTCTCCCTTCAAAAAATAATTTTGCTCTTGAAAAAACTGTAAGGCAAATGATTTTGGTAGCTATTTATCAGACAGATAAAAATATTTGCAAATAAGGTTTCAAGAATATGAAGACGTTGTTGAATACTTCGTATGGAGCTATGGTGAAAATTTGTAATTTTTTGAAGACATGATTTCATCGAATTAAACGAGTTCAGCAAATTTTATTTTATAAAAAGCAGCTAGAGATCCGACAGTCAGATTATCAGAAAAAAGAGAGGCATAAAAACAGATGAAAGTATTTTAAAACCTTTTTGGCAAAAGTTGTTGAATTTTTCGCCCTCGAGTCAAACCTTCTGTAAAAACGTCGTTAACTGAGAACAGGAAAATGTTTCTTCACTTGTGACATCACAATATTAAGTCAGTTCCTAGATTTGTTAAATTGGTTTAATTTTCCAGAACACAAACCCATCAGATAGAAGGCTCTCATTTCCTACATACATTTAAGCGTGAACGACTGAATGATACCATAGAATACCGAAATTAAGGTCAGCAATTTAAAATTCCAGTGCACAGTATATATCTACCCTGCTAATCCATTGGGTGTACAAGTTATCCACGAATGAGATCATCTGCTTTTCAAGTACTGTGCTATTTGTCTGATGTCCTCGAAGAACTGAACTCAGCTGTAAAAGAAGATATTGAAATACTAAGACAAAAAACTAAGATAATCACAAATGATAAAATCAAAGATATTTTTATTTTTGATAATGGAATGTAGTAAGTAGGCTATCATTAAAAATTAGAAAAGGGTAACAAATTTCATTCACAAAAGTTTAAAATCTAAAATTAGGAAAAAACGGCATCTAGAAATTGCTACGTGTGTATATCGTCAGGTAACTTCAATTACTGCCAGGTAACTTCAATTATTGTCATGTAACCAACTACAAATATCGTAAAAGCTCCATTCAGCGCCTCTTTTAAGCCCCTCTCTATTAAGCCCCTCTTATCAAGCAAAAATTTAAAATAAGCTACCCTCTCTATTAAGCCCCCCCCCCATTAGTCCCTGACGTCAAACAGAGAAAACATGCGCATATAGTGAGTCTCTTGACAGGTGTGATGATGATAAGATCGTGTCCATTAATTATGGTCCTTGAAAAGACTTGTGCCCCTTAGAAGTCAGTCGAAATCTATTTGAAAGATGTCCCAGGGGCTATCAATTGATTCTGGTGACTCTGATGAAGATGACTGGTGACTCATAATTGATCAATTTTGAGAAACTTTGGAAGCTGCTAGCAAAGTTTTTTGAGAACATTTGTATGATATTATCATAACAAAAAAACCACAAGGGCATTTTTATAACATTTTTACATTGAATTATTATTAAGCCCTCTCTAAAAAGCCCCCTTTCTTTCAAGTGCCCCTCTAGAACTGAAAAAATAATAAGCCATCCGGGGCTTAATAGAGCTTTCACTGTATTGTCAGTCTGGGCACGTGCATCGGGGTACATAGATAATAACTCTAAGTAGCATTAAAGAATGAGAAATCTGTTACTTGCGACAATTGTTAAGCAAAGAGTATTAATAAGTTACTTTAGCAAAAAGAACTGAAGAGAGAAATAAGATAAGGGCTTTACATGGAGTCTCAACTGTTATTAAATTTCAAACATCCCTTGATGGTAATATATCGTTTTATATTTCACCCTAAGAAGAAAAAGTGTCATCTTCCATCCATCTTTGTCATGAAGCAATGTAATTATTCGATACAACAAAGGACTGCTAACCTTCTCAACCATCCATTTTCTACCGTAGATATAAGCTCTATGAACCATCTTATCCAATGCTTCTTTCACATCCGTATTTTCAGGCAGCCATCTAGAAAAATGTAAACCTTTAAAAGTTAGTCACAGCTTGCTAAACAAATGTAACCATTCCTAGAGTCAAGCAAATGATAAGGCTAAAAAGGGTTTTTTTAAAGGCCGTTTCCACTTCAGTGAATTATTCAGCGAATTTGCCGAGCCTCTTTCTTTCAGAGGGAAGCTGTGTTTCACTGAAAGTCCTTTCAAATTTCAAATTTCGCTGGCGAATTTACCCACGCCCGTAAAGAACAAAAGACATTCCAATCGCTGACGAATTCGCTGAAGCTTTCGCGCAAGTGGAGACCGGCCTTAAGATCTTCTAAAATACTAAACCAGTAAACAAAAGCAGCAACGCGTAAATATCGAATACAAACTGTAAACATACATTACGGAAGAATTCGGTGGTATACCATTGGAATTTTGTATTCATTAAAATTAGACAATTAATTGAATCGAATCCCATATTAGAAAATATATCATATATTGCTCTTGAATAGAGCCAACCAGTGCTTGCCTAACAGAACGTTTCTGAAACAAACACTCTACGAAACAGTTTTTATACAATTAGAGGCTATTGCGACAAATTTAATCAATTTCATTAGCATCTAGCTATTACCTACACGTCTTACTAGTGCTTTGGTCTTACCACTAGTGTCTTCTTTACTACAAAACATTTCATTACCATTGTGGGTGCCTTTAAGTATATGTTCTATTCAAAGAAGTAAATTTATAGATGTATCTAGTAGGAGAACATTTTTGATGAGAGATATATAAGGCATATATAGGTAATTAACTTTCTTTTATTGCAAGTCTTAGGCTAGAGTGTTTTGCAAATAGCCACTTAGTTAAAGTCGTGTTTCCATGGAAAATTTATCAAGAGCTAGAACTTAAAATCCAGTTTAGCATAAATTTTTATAACAACCAACAGCAAATTACCTGAACAGCTCTGGGTGAGTAGTAAGGGTTTCATTGACTGCATTATTCACAAGACTTGCCATATAGACGCTTTCTTGTTGGACCTACAATATAAAAACGATCTCAGTTTCTTTGTCAGTTTAAGAAATGGTTTATTGCTCAATCAGTTGCTGAAAAACAAGCAAGAGAGCAAGCAAGCACACAAGCAGGCAAGAAAACAGGAAAGCAAACAAGCAAACCAACAAACAAACAAACATCCAAGCAGGCTTCTACTTTAATCTGAATACTTTGTAGTTCAAAGGTTTTAACCATATAAATTATTTTTACACTGATAAGGAAAACTTATGTTTGTAAGTCAAAGTTTGGAAAAATCCAACCAAATAGAAACTGTAAATTGTCGAAGGTAACATTCATTAACATAAAGAAAGACAACAAGTTACCTGAACAGCCAAGAATATAACAGCTATTGTTGTTAAAACTATTAGACAGAGCATAATCAGAATTGTCACTAACTTCTCCATTGAATTATCAGTCCATCTAATGACCTGTAAAATAACAGCTTTTCAGATATTGAAACAATTATTAGTTTACATGGTTCCTCTTAAGTATAACATGTTATGATACAAAATACATAAATCTATGACACTTCAAACATGATATGAAAACATTTAGTTGCCTGTACTTCAAAAATAGAAAGTTTTGAAAGCAGAGAAGTGTGAAAAATAAAAGGGGATACAGTAAACAACTTGAGATCTAATAAGGCTTGAAACAGAAGGATTATTGAATGGAACAGAAGTATTTTCCAACCTACTTTTATCATAAACAATTTAGATGCTCATAGCCTTCATTCATGATAAACATTTTTGTTGCACCATCCAAATTCCTGAAACCCTTAAGATGTAATTATTGGCTCAAAGTAATTTATCTGACAGTTGAGACTTGAAAACCTAAGTAAGAGTATGTAGTGACCATTGTCTAAACGTAATCATGTCCTCCATTGTGTCACTGCCATTAACACTTTCGATCATAAGTGTAAACTCAGGGGGGGCTCTGGGGCTTCAGCCCCTCCTGACGAAAACCGAGGGGGCTGAGACCCCCCCCCCCTTGGAAAATAAGGAAGTGCTTTACCAATTTTTAGATTAGTTTGTATTATTATTAGTTCCACGCATAAACATTTTGGGTGCCTAAATAGAACTGATGATCTCAACCTGAAGAAACTGATTATGATTTAAAAATAAACATTCAATCATTTCATCTGTGTGTTTCTTCTTCCTATATAATGAAAAATGCACGGAAAAATCCCCTCTAAGCCCTTAGCTAATCCACTTTCTATCCTGTGATATCAGCAGCTGCCATAAGGAATTGTCATTAATTTTTTGAGCCCACCCTGAAAAAACGCAAGTCTACACCTATGCTTTCTATTGTCTTTGTATTCACACATTGTAATAAACAACACATTTGTAGCGTCCCCTCGTTTTATGTGTATACGCCCAGTTTTGTATTTATTAAGTCAGTCAGTAATTTAATCAAGATGCAATGGTCACGCAACATCGTCTCTTGCTGGCTCCCTGTTTTCTGCACATTAAATAAGACATACAAACGACAGCAAATCCATAAAAAAACTTCGCAACATCAAATGTAAATATAGGAACATCATTAATCAGGGTTCCTACAAGTATACCTTACATATAGTTCCTATGAAAATGTTGATACTTATATGATACCATACCTTTTTATCTCCTTTCAACATTAACCTATAAACACCTCTCACAGGACCAGGTATGATAGCATTTCTTCTTTTGAATGTCCATTGTTCACACTGTCTTAGTAATTGACTCAATTTTATTGATAGCAACTCAGAAGTTTGGAGCCAAGAGAAAAGACTCTTGGCAGCAAAGATAATCACTAAAATTGGAACAATTTGCAGTATCCAGGTGTGAAACCACAGTCTTGTAATCAAAAACATCCAAAATAAACCAATAAAGTATGGGTCACTCTTGCCGATCCTTTTCTTTTTTGATCCTTTACGACATGTTTTCTTTCTATGTGTTGGTACACATTTTGCTTTTTCTTTGTTTTTCTCAGACTCACTGTCAACAGTAGCATCTTCAACAGGCCCTTTATCTGCTTCAACAGGTGTTGGCTGGCTACTTCCATCTACATTTTCAGTTTCGGCTGTTGTGTTGGTCCTAACCCAACCATTGATAATGACTTCATCAGTATACTTTGTACTAAAGACTCTTCTTCAACAATTCCACCATCAACGCCTTCAGCTTCTTTTTTCTGGCACCCCTCTTTTGCCTCTGCAACATACAGAGCAATGTTGAACTAGTTAAATAAGACTATTTTGTCATCAAAAATCGTAAAATTTTGATTAAAACGACTTAGTTTTGGTGGAGTGAATTTCAATAGAGAAAATTCTTCAAAGAATTTTCCCTGGCCAGCAAAAATATCAACACAAAATATTAACTGTAATACCAATAGAAAATGTTTCAAATGGGGACCACAGACATACCCAGCCAGCGAACTAAGCAAGAAAAGATATCTAGCTAACAATGGCAGCAAGAGAGTTGTTTTTAGTTGGTTAGGGAAAGGTCCATGAACAAGGAAAAAGAGGAAGGAATAAGAAGAGAGAAACTAAGATCAAGTTTGTTGATTTTGTCAAGTTATATTATCAAGTTATAACATCAGGTAATAAGATTCAGGAAAGTAGACAGAAGAGGGTAGAAGGTTCAAAAGTTTACAAGATTTTGGGAGGAAGGATGAATTGTAGGACAGAGTTTGGGAATTAGGTAAGCAACACGGAAAAGGCGAGTACAGAAAGAGTATCTTATATATTTACATGTTTCAGGAGACACATAATCATATCTCTGACCTCCTAGGAACAAACTGCAAATGGTACAAACTGCAAAAGGAAATAACAAATGAGGCAGACAAAAGAAAAGTGTGTGCGACAGGAACAAATATGGCATGTCCAGAATTGTGTTCTTTCTTCCTATGGCGTAGATCAGGGGTGTCCAAACTACAACCTGCTGGCCAACTGCAGCCCAGTCAAATTTTTGCTGGCCCACAACAAGTTTTGAAAATATACTTAAGTGCTGACAGGGCAAAAAACCGCTGGTGCCACATATGTATGTACACATGGAAGCCTTCTGTGTAAAGCAGGGAAGCCTACATTTAAAGAGTGCAACAGGGGCAAAGTGCCAAGAAGGGCATAATTTTTGTGAAAGGAAGAAAAATGCTAAAAAGCTTTTAAATCGACGCTCTATTTAATTATGTCTGCTTCTCCATATGTTGACCTTTCTAATAAGAAGGAGAAATGTCGTTCATTGCATTTCTTGTCACAGAGTTCAACTAGCCTTTTCAAGATTTTGTTGTCATTGAGAAAGAAATTAACCTGCTCTGGTGGATGCAGAAGTGGAAGAAACACAGTGTGATGATTCTCTAAAGAGTCAAAATCAGCTACTCTACCTCTTCTACTTCTATCAGAGTTCAGGTAATAGCAAGTTTCCTCTAATGAGAAGCCACGCAAAAAGAATGATGAGTCTTTCTGGCTCAACATACATTTTTGGCAAAACATTTTCTCTCAAAAACCTCTCAAAAAGTGGACTACAGACAAGAATGATGGGTAGCCACATCTGTTTAGTACTTTGTGTCCCAACCACCACATTGTCTCCTGACCTGTCAGCCATCTACTTTTATTGAAGACAAATTTGTTCAAATTACAGAAATAAACTTATTTCAAATTAAAGAATCCATGTACTTTCAATTTGAAATTGACTCCCATGTTCTTGTGTTAATATGTTGCCTGTAGTGTGGCCCAGCCCTTTGAGAATTGTTCTGCATTGGCCCTCACAAAGAAAACTTTGGACAACCCTGGGGTAGATTGTCGCACTTTTGTTTCTTTTAGCTTTTTTTATTTGATACTGAAAGCAGATATTTACTTTTGCAACTGATAAGTTGACTTATAATTAGTTGTGAAAATGCGTGATTCCAAAATTTAACAGTTCTATATCTGTACTGACTTCATTGAGTGCAGCTGATAAAAAAACTGAGAAAAGCAAACTTTAAAAGTATATGATGCAACTAACTAAATTTTTGTTTCTTTTTCTATTCTTCATAAAGACCAACAATGAGAAGTGACAAAAGTATGAGAAATATAATGACCTTCCATCATTGAAACTAAAGAATGCAACTAACCTATTTTACGCTTCTCTTTCCATTCTTCATAGAGACCAACAATGAGAAGAACCAAAAGTATAAGAAATATGATGACCTTCCATCGTCCAGCATATGAGGCAAGATGGATAAGTAGCAGTGTCCAAATTGGCACTGAAAGTGCTGAAAGCACTTTAGATGAGGAAGGAGTCCACCAGAATATGACTATCAGGATGTAACCAGCAACCAGCGTCCACACCTGAAAATTTTGAGTTGTCTTAAAGTCATTCAAACCACTCAAATTTTTAAAATCACTTTAATTATATACTAAAACCATTTTTTTTAAATCATCAAACTACATTATGCTCAAATGTTGGTTTGATACCCCAACTACATTAATTTCAGAAAGAATTATCCTCAAATTTTTGATCCTCAAAATTAGAAGAAGGGACAAGCCCCGACTATCTTTAAAATCACCCACATGCTTTTGCTGACTCTTATACAGCCATGCATGTAATGGTTACAGACACTTCATGTCAAGCAAAAATTAACACGATCCTATATGTCACACAGCATTTAATAGAGCTTTATATGTCTTGCTTTGGTCATGGCATGTGTCCATACAAACATGATGATTCTTTTCTAAATGCAAACACAGCTGAAGTGATGCATTTCTTAAGGCTGGAATACACTAGGCATTTAATTGCCAGTCAACTAAATGCCTGTTGTTTAATCCAATTAAGATGCCTTTCGTTGATGATACATTTTGCGTCATTGTCCCTTACTCATAGCGTTTTGGCTGGAAATATATGTTGCCTTTCTTTTATCCGTTCTCGGGCAAAATTTTTCAAAAAACGCTTCTCTGCATATATTGACTAACATGAAGGCTGCTTGAAGGCTGCAATGTGCAGAAGCAGTAATCGCTTTTCTGATTGTAAAGGAAGGGGAAAATGCATAAGAATAGGCATCGATAGAAGTGGGTTAATCGTAGAAACAAAGTTGGCGTTGATAAATTCGCCCTAAAACATGATGATTTGTACGGCATGTTTTCGTACCGTCCACAAATTGACAAGCAACTATTGGAAACTGTCTTTCAAACGCTCTTGTCAATACACTGAACAATAGCAATCAACAAGGATTAGAAAATACAAAAAGAACTTCTGGGCATTTTATTGTCCAAAAGTTGAACATGTTCAACCTTTAAAACGGAAACTCCGGAATGTTGATAATTTGAAAATGTATGGCAATAATTAGGTCACCTCTGCCAATACACTAGGCATTTTATTGCGAGTCAACTAAATGCGGCAATTAAATGCCTAGTGTATTCAAGCCTTTAAAGAGATGTGTTTGATGGCCCAAGGGACATTTCAATGTGTGCAAAGTAAGCTGAATTGAAACAAAGGATTATGTAACATCTGAATGGAAACAAAGGTAATAAATGGGTTGTGTTAAAATTGATAAATTGCTATCACCATTCCAGATTTTAAATCAGTTTAGAAACCATTATGGTTTTGGCTAAACAGGGGGCAAGCCATAAGTGGGATAAAAGAATTTCATGTGCAGAATATATTCCTTCTTTCTTATAAGAAATGAGGAGAAACTTTTTGTAGTGTAAGCGAGGATCTTTAATTTAACATGTAAATGATACATAGGGAAAACTTTTCCCATTTATTTTTTTAGGAGCCTTATAGATTATAGATATTTGAGATAAATTCAAATGAACTTTAATCATAATTCAATCACATATATATCTGATCTGAAAATTTATCAAAAATTTTTTAATTATAATAGAGATATTCAAAGCTACTATACAAGACCAGCGAGTAGTTTGCATGTTCAAATATCAACTTCTCCAAGCCACAACAGAACGTTCAAGACTTCAATGCATTACCAACAACTTTGAAACAAGCTCCAAGCTTTGGACTCGTTTTTTTTAACCACTTGATTTTGTATAAAGAATAGAAACTTTGCATCTCCTTTCATAAACAAACATACATAACTTATTTAATTAATTTACTTAATTTCCAATTCAATTTATGCGCTGTGAAAAACTTTGTATTAAGATCAGTGTTTTATTATATATACAATTATATACAAAAATATAGGCCAAAAACAAACAACTCACCCATAGAGGTCTTTGGAAAATCTCCAATACTAAGCCGATTACTCCAAAAGCTCTCTCAAATACAATGAATATTTGAGAAAATGGCTGAAAAACGATTAAGTAGTATGCAATCGGAAATAATAACACAAAACTCAGCAGCAACCTGGCATTAGACTTCAGCAGTTTTCCAAAGAGCTCAGCAGACTCATTAACAGCTCTCAAAGGAATCAAACCAAATCCAATAGCAAATGGGGTGTCTGTTTCATCTAGAGATTTAAGCCATTGTCTTACAGCTGATGTTGCAGTTCTTTGAAATGGGTGAAGGAACGCCCCACACAAAACCGCCCACAGAAGTGGCCTAATAAATGCCTCCAGAACATAGTATACAACAATGGCGATTACTCCACTCAGTAAAACAAAAACCAGCGCAGCAGTATTGTAAAATGCCTGTTTTAATGCTTTATCATGTTGAGGACCTGTTGAACCAAAAACGACATTGAGAGGCGAGGCTAAGTAGTCTGAGCTTTGTCCTTGGGCAGCCATTTGTTTTGAAATTTAGGCAATCAAAACTTTCTATTGGAAAGTTTGTTGTTGTTGTCTTGTTTCCAAAACGAGGCAGCCAAGAGGCTAAATTCAATGTGAAAATATTGGCGGAGCGGAGGGGTAATATTTTTGCAAATTTTTCTTTGTGATGTAATTCTATGGCTTTGAAACTGCCTTTACGAAGCAAAAAGGTAAACTTCGGCGTTCTCTACTGGTAAAATAGGCGTCATCTGTTGACAAAACGGCATTTGCTGAGAGTAAAAGGGCGTGGCTTTAATTTTCTTGTTTTAAATTTAAGTTAACTGGCATTATTACTTTCATGACATATGTTTTAACTGCAGTTCATGCATGGGTAATAATTTTGTGATATTGATTGATTGATGTAGAGGTTGATTGAAAAGCTCTGCTTACAGTATAAAAACAAATGTCAAGAAGTACATTGATAAGTTGAAATTAGTTTAAAGCAATATTATCCTTTTACAAAGGTCAAAAATCATTGGTTTGATATGCACATCTTCACCTCTCTACCATTGCTAAGGTTTTGCTAGGCCTGTGCATTTGAGCAACCCAGGGAATAGCGACAGGCCACTGTTGTCTTTTCACCATGATATCTTAAGCATTACCGGAAGAATCAATAAATTCCAGTGAACATCTGGCCTCATCATTGTGTTCTTAATGAACAACATAACTTCCCAGTCTACTCCACTGCTCCAATAATTAATCTTTCTATGGCAGATACAATACGCTAATTAATGCCATTCGGAAACCTTTAGAAAAACACAAAATTATTAGAATTGAAAAAAGTTACTTTCAACATTCTTACTTCTGAGGCAAGGATCATGCCTTTTGGTAGCTTGCGTGCAAACTTTACTTTCCGTTGCGTGCGGAGTTAAGTCTGCACGCAGGCTAGCTTTTTGGTGACGGCATATCAAAATTTGCTCCAAACGTAACATTTGTTTAACAGTAAAAGTAAAGATAAATCTAAACTGTTTTTCAGCTTCAAGTAGTGAAGAATATATGATAGTAATATCTTTAATCAGGCACCGCGGAGCGTTGAGAAAAGTGGGCGTCCTAAAAAAAGTGGGGGGGGGGGCTAAAACCGTATAAAAAGAGGCTTTTCTGGTAGTTTGATACTTAATATTTGGCATTTTTGCAAAAAGTGGGAAGGCTAAAGCCCCCCAGCTCCCCCTGCTCCGCGGTGCCTGTTAATAACACAGGGGGCAAAATGATTCAGAATGAATGCATAGTATCGTGAACAAGATCTATTCTATGTGTGCACCGGTAACAAAATAGCGAGCTGCAAAGATCAATTAACAGTAAATGCCTTTTGAAAGTTTTCTGATAAATGTATTGAGTTTTACAAAAACGACCTGCGCAAATATCAAAAACGTGCTTATCTCGATGATCAAAAAACTAATGGTTTACATTGTAGCAAATGGTATGTTAGTGTTGTTAGTGACTACAAGGCCATAGCTGGAAACTGCTAACGAGGAAACTGGGAACTGCAAAATCATTGATAAATGTAAAAAGTTTGAGTTTCGAAAAACAAATTTTGATAAAGACTAAGAAAGAAAGAAGGATTTGAGAAAGAAAGGCAAATCGAATCTTCAAAATGCAAAGGTAACTTAATCCAAAAACAACACGTTCGGGGAATTTTGTTTACAAAAGGCGACGCTTCTATAAGTCCTCATAAATTATTCAAAAATTCAACAAAAATTAGGTGATCTTGGTCTTTGAAGACACTTGTTGTAAGCGAAGCTCGATGAATGGTTAGATCTCGTCAGCTTGGTGTAAGCTATCTAAAAGAATTAGTTCGAAAAGAAAGAAACAATTGATGTTGATTAAAGTTACTAACCCGGGACTAGCAATTCTTAAATAACGGTGTTTCAGGAAGGTTTTCAGTTGAAAAAAGACAGTTGGATACTTTAAAGGTAAGTGTATTCTTTCTCTTCAGCATTCCATAAATTTCACCTTTTCCACAAATAGTTGGTATGTGAAGTCAATGTTTATGAAGTCATTTTTGAACACGCATCTTCTATCCTACAATGTCCTCTGAAGGTTGGTAGAAATAGTACTTTATCAGAAGGAAATAAAGACATATAACAAGCATAAAAGTATGGTCAGGACAACTACGCCGTTGGAAGCATCTCAAAGTTGGAGATGCATAAATAGAGCGGGGAACTGTCTGTACAAGGGGGTACTTTTCCAAAAGTTCTTGAAGTCAATTTTCAGCAAAGGGGTATTTTTGAGAAAATGGAGGAGGCACGTGCCCGCTGGTGCAGCCTTGTTTCCGACATCCCTCAACCTGAGTAGAACGAAATAAAACATTTGTTGTCACTTTATCAAACAATTTCATTTCGATTCTTGTGTGATTATCTCGCTGATTATGAAGACGATCCAACTAAACTAATCATTTTTCTTGACTCTGATGAAGTGAATTCAAATGAATGAAAAGTCATAGATTTTAAATGAGTAGGAAGTTCCATATAAATTAGCTCGAAAATAGTTGCCTTAATATAAATTAAGACATTTTCTCCCCTCAGCTCTTCTTGCTTTGCTATCCCTTTGAAGTTTTCTGTTAAAAAGAACGCCTTGCTCATGTCTATGTAATCAAAAGATGTGCTTTTATGTCTCGGTAGGCTGAACTGATGACGTAACAACACCTGCTTTTACTTGTAATTACGAACTTGTCAAAAATACACAAAAAGGCATTGCTAGTTTGACAAATAATCTAGGTTTCGTAACTGGTATGGTGGATGAAATTGGCAGCAATCTTTGACTGATTGTTGCTTTCATTAATGATTGACAGATGATAGTGTAAAAATGCTTTAGGATAGGAAACAAGCTTTGGCATATTTAACAAGACGCGAGGAAATCCAGTTACTTTAAAATAATGCCAGTGAATTTAATCCATTCTGCAAGGCAAATTAAACTTCGGAAATAATTTACAGATAGTATGGATGTCTGATTCTCATCTATGCAAAGCAATAAACGTCTAGTTCGTGAGCAAGAGTTTTTAAATGAAGGCAACAGTTGGTGGTGAAAATGACAAGTAAGATGGCGCCTAGCTAAAATTTTTCACCACACTGTTCCATTATCTCTTAAACTCCCAGTCTAATGTAAAAGTCTAAAGAACTGCAAATGAATTGACGTGTTCATTGTTATTTTTCCTTACTTATACCCCCGTCTAAGTGCCCCAGTGGTGAGAGGTCAGACTTTTGCCGGGGTGGCGGTCACTTTTTGATGGGGAAAGTGACGGTCAAATTTGAAACCGGAGATTCCTAAATTTGTACCAAGGATCAGTATCATTTAAAATGGGGACATGAAACAACAGGAACATGGCATGTGTAATTTCCCTGCATCAAGCATTCTTTTAGCTAGACGACTACACATCAGCACGACACTAGCTGCACATTATACATTTCGCAATTATACAAACATTAGCAAACAGTAAATAGAAAGTTTGAAAACGTAGCACACTCACGCTTTTCAGGATCCTTTGGTAGAAACATTGACAAGCCAAAATAATAATAACGGACTAGCGGACCTTTCAACCCCAAGATCTTTCAACCCCAATGTATATCGGGACAAGCTCTGAATACAGTAACTACCCGAGGCGGCACCACGGTTGCCACCGAGGAAAAGAAAATTTTCGACGATTCTATTTCGTTGGAAAACGTACTGTTCTAAGCAATTTTCACGGCAACAATTCCCCTAATTGTGCTGAAATTTCCTTTATTTTTGCAAATAGATTTTTCACCAGATAAAAAACTTTTTGCCGTGGTCTTGAAAATAGGATGCTTTTGCGCTACTTCTAAAGCCAGGTAAACAGAATTGTTGATTGTAAATTTACCCTCTGGTCTTCTCATTTTGGAATTTCTTTTTTGCATGTAAAGAAGGTCTGCAGCTCATTGTGAATTTCAGTTAACGATTCTTCCGAAAAAATGAAAAGAGTTTTGACATGGTATAATTTTACCAGAGGAGGCTCTTGATTTTGATTTAGAACCAACAAGAAATCTCGAAATCATTGGCTTCTGTAAAAAATTCCATCCAAGTGAAGGTCCCAGGACAGAAAAGGCATAAAGAGAGTGTGACTGATAAGCTCCCCCAGTTTGCTTTTTTCTTTCTCTTCCTCTTCAGACTTTCTGTGGCTGTTCCGTCATTACTGGCCTGTTCTAGACCAAGCAAAACTTCATAATAAACTCCTGCTATATTTCAACGCTTTTTTGTCCTTCTTTTTCTTCTTTGCGTGTAATTTTCCAGCAGAATTACAGTCAAATAATCCCAACAAAGATTGGTGAACAGTCTATCCAAACCAAAGGGCAAATTGTGCAAATTTTTTAGAGAAACTGATGGATGAGATTCAGTGGTGGAAAAACCACATCACTGAATTTTGCAAGAAGCTTTCTAGGACTACCTGATCATTTCCTTCTTCCTTCTCTCATCTGCCTCTATAGCTAAGGTGCATGGAGCCTAACCCACGAAAAATATTCTAATCTTTTATTCCGACTACAGAAGAAAATTAGAAGCGTTCTCTGCTTCCTCCTCGCCAATTTTCCATCCTTTAAAAATCAGCCACAAGAAGTATTACACACAATTTTTTCAACCTTAATCTATAATGCACTTCACAAGCTATCTCCTTCTTACTTTCATGACTACTTTCAGCTAAATCAACTGTTCATGGGATTGGTACTCGTCAGGCTACAAAAGGTGTTTAGAGCTCTTAAAAATACCACCTTGCATGACCTTAAACTATTCAATAATTTGATCCGAAACTCAAGTCAGTGATAATGGCAATACCGTTGCATTGCTGATCTTTTCAGCAAAAGTCTGTAAGTAGCTATATGATAGTCTCGTTTGTGAATTCGCGCCAATAATTTGAAAAGGTAGTTTACGCATGCATCAGCCATGAATGATTATCGGTTCCGGCCTGGATTCCAAAATTTGCTATATGTTGGATTGCCGGGGTTTTGGTACCGAGGTTTGCAAGACTTGTGACCGAGGAATTTGATCGAGGCGATCTATCCAGGGGACAGTTATTTTGTACAGGGGAGGATCTTGCCTTGCCCGGGGCAGAATTTTGCTTAAATTATTTCACCGGGGAATTCACCGGGGTACTTAAACAGGGGTGTTTGCTTGCTTTTGAGGAATGAAAATACTTAAGAAAGCTACATAAAATGATGCTAATTATTTGTCAAGAATGTTAAAATCATGCAAGGTAGAGAAGGGAAGTTCATGAACTGATATCAGGTGAACATAGGAAAATTTTCCAGTATCGGGTCTGCAGCCGACAAGTTTTGGAAAGTCGCATTTCCTCCACTGCATCGCTTTAAAAATACCTTTCAGGTCAAATTTGTTCTGTCATGTCAGTATTACTACAGAGGTGTTTAGATTACAAATACAAATTACAGATTACAAATTATTACAGAGGTGTTTTGATGTCATCGTTCACATTAAGTTTTGATGACTACTTCGTTTCAAAATGGACTGGACAAAGAGATAATTACAGTTGCTGGTTTCGTGCTTGCGTTTTCACTCACGAAGCCGAACACAGCTGTTCAAACTTCAAGCTAAGCACAGTTCATGATGCTTTTAATAGAACACTGCTCAAGTAATGTGTATAATTTTGATGCTAGGGATTCCACGTTGATTGCAAGTCTCATTATATTGTCTCCGGGTTTATTTTATAGACGCTTACAAACCTAAAATACAATCTCTGCGTTTGATTCAAAATCACAGTTAATAATACTTGACGTAGTACAGACATTAGAGCCCAGACTCTTTTGTGATTGATAATGCATACTTGTAGTCTTTGCATCTTCTCTGTGTTATTGCTGCAACCTTAGCACTTCACAGTTCACAAAACACTAAGTGCCAATTTGCTGAGAAAGTACTGCATTGCAATTTCAATGGCAGAAAACGAAACTTTTTAAAGCATCGTGCAATGATCAAGTACATTAGATTTGACTATTGCTCTAATTCTTTTATGTCTAGCATGAACTATGGATGATGTGAGAAGGTGCACAATTTAGACCTTTAAAAAATTGAATGAAATAAATGGTTCCAAAATTAAAAAAATGGCTTTGAAAATAGCAAGCATTTTAAACGTACTTGAGCTTTTTGTCTGGGACTCTCCAGAGTATAAAACATCAGAACATTTGAAAAACGAAAATTTGAAGCATCTATCAAATTTTTTCCAGAGCTAATTTTATCAAACTTTATAGTCTTTTAAGGAAAAACCAAAGAAACATCTAAACGTGAGCTGTTTCCATTTGATTCACTACCTCTCCAGATACTTCAGAGCCATGCGTCTTCAAAGTTCTAGTATAACACTGGTCTCATAAATCGTTTATTCACAGTTACATCTGTACGTCGCATACCTAACTGTAGTTACGAAAAATTTGGGCTGCTAGCAGATCATGAAATTTTGTTCTCAGAAAATATATGCTTAGTCGCTTTGCAATAAAATATTTGTAAAATTAATAGGTACTTTTGTGAAAGACCCAGCCGCACAAATATTTCACAAAAAGATGTTTATCTAGGATGTGAAGTATTTGCTCCTAATATTACCAACGTGCAAAATCAATTAGGATGTAGGCAGAAAAGCTATTACCAAAGTTCGGTTGCATCTGCTTTTTCCCATTTGAAGCAATGGTGTAGACTTTTGGTGTTTCTTAATAGCAGGTTTATTGTTTGAAAACATAAACATTCTATATGACAAACATGCCTTCTTAGCTTCTACGTGAGCTTTGCATAGACAAACTTGTACAATAAAGGCGTTCTTTTAATGTGTTTTGAAAGTAAGGGCTTAAGCTCAGGTTGCGAACTCAACTGGTTAATTTTTTTGATATAATTTCGTAATTGTTCGATGTCAAATGCTAGTTAGATTAGAAATTTCTTACTGGCTATTAGATAAAAAAGTGTTTAAGAGCTACATTTTAGAAGCACATAAAGGTAATTTATGCGAGAAAATGTCATCCTGAAAAAATATTAGACGTCTTATTTTAAAATAAAACATATTTTCCATTACATCTACAATTTGTCAAGTTCTATCATGGATATGAGGCTTTGAACGAAATTTCCTGATTAGCTTGTCAGCAGTCTTACTCCCACGAAAGAAAAGCTTTAACTAACAAGTTACTACTAACTGGTCTCAGCTCGATCAACTAACTAGTTTGTTTTGAGATCAACTGCAGAACCAAGAACATCTTTTGAATGCTGCAGGTGGGGCTTTAAATTTTTTTCAGTCCGTACCTGATCATTTCCTTCCATTTTATTAAAATGAATAAAACAGATTTCGTAAGTTGTCTAAAAAATTTACATATAAATGAAACGAACGAAAGATGGAGATGCAATCGCAAAATTAAACACTAAATATTTAATTCAAAAGTTGGGTACCTCTAGAGGAAAACTCTACTGCAACGATAAACAGGCCAGTTGCTACTTTTTTCAATTTATTTTAAGAAAAACCATTAGTGAAACGGAAAAGGGCGTTTCATATCTGTTTAAAATTACAAAGCCCTCTAGTATTTTAGCAAGAGAATTGCAAAACAGTGCAGTAGTGATCTCGTCAGAAATCTTTTTCCCATGATAGAAAAGCTTCGATTTACTAACATGTATATTAACTATTCTTAATGTATAATCAAGAAAAAAAGAAAATTCTTGATACATGAAGGAAATACCGGTAGCTCAATACATGAATTATATAAAGGATAGAATACAATGTCCAATCATATTCATGTGCAACTTTATAACTTCCAGATGTTTACTTGTAACTTTGAATGTTTTAAAAATTATCCAAGAGATTAAGTTGAGTTTTGATAGAAAACGTAAGTTTGCAATGACACACCATTAAAAATTGCAATGGAAAATGCTGTTTATATTTGTTGATGAAACCAGAGTTGAAGGAATGTCTAAATCTTTTAATTCCATGACAAGAAGAGAAGCAATATTGTGAAAATTCACATTGGGTATTATTGAAAAAAGTTGATAATTAGAGGCAAAAGTACGCAGTCACTATGTGGACTAATCTTATAGCAATCAAGAAAGTTGAAAAAGTTATGAGGATTTTTAACATGCTGCTTGAAACAGCTTGATATTTCACATGACTTTGCAGAGTAGTTCTGTGGAATCGTGAGGTCTTTATGGTTAGAGATAAAACTGGCATTTCTATCTTTTCAGATTTCTAGATGATGTCAGTTGTTTATGGTAACGTAGCCACAAAAAGCAGAAAGTTGACATTATCCAGTCATTCATGACAGAGCTGCGGAATCTTGGATTCATTTTCAAAGTTTCATGTTTCTGATTTCCATTGTGACACTTCAAGTGCAGAGGAAATAGATTGACGAAGATTTCATTAGCTTTAGGACAAAAAGCCGAATGTCTGATTAGATTGATTGCTTCTGATATGAATGTTTATAAAACAGTAGGCCAAGTCTGGAAGGTATTGACAAAATAAAAGGGCCGAGGTGGACTCCTTGAGGGATTTTACACTTGGATAAGTGCTAGTGTTCATAGGGCAGTCAACATTAACGTTAGTTGAAGATTTAATACAACCAAGCAGTTGCAAAAGAGAGGATGTTACTACATATTGCGAGGTAGTGTAAAATAAATCACATTCAAATAGGCGTTCGAATAAATGATAAACAGCTAGGGGACTGTTGGGTGCGGAAAAACAAAGAAACTGGGAAGAGCCATTTCAGGCCTTGAAGTGAAGACGAACACAAAACAGAAACGGGAGAAGACTCTGAGATTGTGTCTAAGAAGCCCAAACTACAGTCTGCTGAAAAACTTAACAAACAGGATGGAATTGGGAACGTTTATCACAGGCCTCATCCTAAGCTGTCTTGGACTAATCTTGAACACCATTGAGCTAGTACTGTTATACCTCCATAAAACGAGAAAGACGAAATACCAACACCTGATTCAAAGTTTATCTGCAGCTGATATTTGTGCAAGCCTTTTCTTCATGTGCTTATATATAATCAAACAGTTAATCCGTGAAAACGAGGCTCAATACACCGCAGTGTTTGTGACCACGCATGATTTGGTATGGTTCGCTGTCTCATCCTCTTTACTGCACGTTCTTGCCATTTCATTTGATAGGCTTCTTGCAGTACGGTTTCCCCTCAAGCATCGCTTTTGGTTCACCCACAAGAAAAACACTGTTTTGATCGTTGTTATTTGGGTGCTATCTTTCCTGCTTTTGGTTCCAACGATTGTTGTTTATCTTCTCACAAACGACCACCATTTGACAAAACTATTGCTGTCGTCCTTGGTGTTGGTATGCGGCTTCATGATCGTCATCTTGTACGCATACATAATCTATAAAACTGTCTCAAAAGATTGCATCTTCGAAATAATAACACTACAAAGTGGCAAGAAAGAAGTCGTGTCTGCGTGCAGCCCGCGAGAAAAGCGCATCCTTCAGACCTCAGTCCTGATTGTCGTTTCATTCTTCGCATGCAGTTTTCCATTTGCTGTTTTGTATATTGCCAAAGTGAGAAATGATTATACGACACTGTTGCTTTTGTCAAACAGCATATTAAACCCACTGGTGTACTTTTACCAAAGATACTATCAAGAAAAGAAAGAAGAAACCTTGCGAAGAAAAGCAGAAAAATCAGCAAAGATTTCTCGCGATATAGAGTTGCAGGTCGTAGATGATTTGTCGGCTAAAAAGCAACCGACAGGAGAAGATTCTTTATTGGAGGCTGAGAAAAACTAGACCAACAGGGGGATGTAGGCAGAGTTGTTACTCGTTTGCCAAATGAGTTATCCCCCGTCCTTGTAGTTAGAGTGTGCGCATTGAACTTTACAATTACTGCGCATGCTCATTAGAAATACTTCGGGTGTTGGACTCCCCCAACCAATGCAAATGTAGGTTCTTTAAAAAAGTAGCGATAATTAACGAACATGCCATTTAAAAAGAATATAGCATGGACGGTCTAACTTTCAAACAAGATGTTCAAAGGCAGTAAACATTATGAACATAAAAACTTTTCTCATTTTAAATGCTAGACCTACAAACACTTAAAAAATTACACTCTTTATAAAAAATAAAAACAAATTGTTCCTAATAGAAACTTTTCATTAATATCTAGGAAATGCTAACTAAAACCGTATATGTTTCGATATCGGCTATAACTAGTTTGCTATTAATTAATTAACGAATCTATTCATGTAACAAAACAAGGAAAAAATGTATTGAATAATGCTTTTGGTATAAATTTGAGTTAAGATGATCGTGAGAAATTGTGAAAAGAACAAAGCAACTTGTTCTACTAGGACTTTTAAAACATGACGTCTGGATAGCGTAGTGAAAAGGACAGTGTATTGGAGGCGAATGTGCTACGGCAGTACGTTCTCTCTGATGGTATGCCTAAAACTCTAGCTAATGTTTGGTAATCTTCAGCCAAAATCAGAGAGGTCTCCTTATGAGTAAATTCAATATTGATGAGAACTGCGAACAACTACTAAGAAAAGGAGAAAGTCGAGCAGCCAATGAATTCCAAAAACAAGCCCCCTTAAGACACAGCAACCCACCATTAAAAACTCAAGCATAATGATGGGGAGGGACATCTATAAATAAATTTTATTTTATGGTGTTAATAGTTCGTGCTAAGCACTCAAATTGATATAAGGTCTTCATATATGCCTAGGTTTGGTATGTCCGCAGAATCCATTGAACCTCGCTTGTTTTAAAGTGGCTACCGTAAAAGTGGGGGAGAATTATTTTCATCCGAAGTATGGAAAATTACAAACACGAGGTTACTTAAACTAGAACGTTTACAGTTTTCTTTGTACCAGTCCATGATTAAGTTATCTGCGAAAAAGCAATATCTATTCTATTCTGTCTGCTTATGGTTTTGCATGTTCTCTATATAAAAAAGACAAATAAATACTATATATAAATAATTATACAATTTTAAACAAATCTATAAGGATTTATAGAACGAATCACGCATGCTACTCAAGTGTAACGTGTGGTTGTAAAACTAAAGTTATGATTAAGTCACAAATAAACACAGCTATCAATAGAAATTTGGACGGTTTTATTAGATAGAAGGATCAATAATTAGTAGAATAGAGACAATCATATGCCTCATCCTGGCAACGAGATTAGAGGTGCTTGTATCATTACAAAAGGATCTACACAAAGGCGCAAGTGCAATGGGCAAACTTAGGCTCGTTTGTTGCGGCTGTTGCGTTTTATAATTGAAACTGCACCTGAACATTACAGAAAGTGTAAGCAAATACATAAGTATCCTATGAATTATAAGAAAAATATTTTCTAAAAAGGAGTGAATTTGCACCAAGCTTTTTAATGTTGCCCCGCAGTCTATTCAAACTTTGGTCGTAATACGTGATAATCGAGTTCATTTTGACGCGTTTTATGGCTGTATACCAATTAACCAAAAACGACAGGCTATTCAAGAGAAAACGTATTGGGAAATATAATCATTCGTTTATTGCCTATTTGAACAAAAAATTATCGGATTCAATTGATTGTATTCTCTTAATTATAGGTTGCTAATGTTGATTAAATATCTAGAAACATTAAGCGTTGTGTATTAGAGGAAGAAGATTGGTATATGAAGGCAGTTGCTTATCGCTGTTTCTGTGTCGAAAGGGAGTACATATCAGGAGTCACACCTCGCTGTTAATTTGAAGTATTATGATCTACCTACGTTAGGCCAGCTGACACTCGTTAGGTCAATCGACACTCTTTATACACGTGTAATGCAAACATCAATATAATTCTAGCTACAAATAGCTATCAATTTGATTCCAACGAGTCTCAGTGAAGAAGAAAGACTTACGCTGTACTTTCATCACCAAAGTCAATTTTCCTTTCATGGTTTGAGCTGCTGAAAGCTAATACCATTCGGTGTAAATTGCTTGCGAGATCCTTCTCACGACTGGTAAAGAAAAACTTACTGTACATTCATTTAAAACTATCCAAGGGATTTCACACTGAACCCAGTGTTCTTTGATGGTAACTTGGGAATAAATGTATTTTGTCTGATGTCTCAGGAGTATGTCCTGACACAAAGATATGCGAATTCCATTCTCGCAGGTTCCCATTCACAGACTAACGCACAACTATAGCACGGGCTGCTTTGTTGATTGATTCTTGTGGTACAAACTGCTTACTTCAATGCACTTGGCTATTCAACAAAAACATCAATTTTCTTCAGGACTACAGCCAGCTCACAAATCAATGCGAATTCAAAGTCAAACATGCCTAGAAGCTTGTGTACAGATCGTCTGTACATCTGTGTAGGCCGTCGCCAGAATCTTTAATATCCCCATACCAATTTGGTCTAGAGGATGGTACTGTACCAAATCTAATGTCTGTCATCTCTACATTGCCTTGCCGTTCATATGGTGGTCTTCTTTTCTGCCATACAGGACTTTTGTTAGCGTGACCATTTGCTTCAGTAGATGTGCCAACCTTTCTTGGAATTGTAGGGGATGTCGTATCAGAACTAAAGGCCTCTAACTCTTTCAAAATGGTCGTCAGTTCGTTTGAAATATTAGACATCCGATCTGGGTCCATGCTGCCCTTGCTATCCCGTGTTGTGGTATCGTCATCACCAAGCAACTCGTCATCCACATTGTCATACCGCTCCTCAGAATCTGCCCGGCTGCTCGGTTTTCCCTTTTTCTTTCGCTCCAACGTCAGCATGTGCTGAGGAGGAGCCGATCCGGGAAAGTATACCGGGATGCCTTGAATCCCAATCTGTTGGCGGGATTTCTGACGAAGGAAAAGAAATCAATGAACGAGAATCAAGAAATATCGTCAAATAAACAGGAACCTATAACTGATGCTTCATATCATTCTCCTAAAATGGCTTCACCTGTTACGTCATAAATTACAAGAACTTTGTGACGATCAAAACCTCTATGTAGATAAACATATGGAGGACGTAGGACTGCAGGAAGGTGCATAAAATGGCTTTGACGACGAAATTCAGCGACAATACTTCGTTTATGCTTCTCTTTGACCTATGAATCTGCTGATCTTAGATACAAATACAAAATACAACAAAGCAAAACGGGTCAAATCGTACAGCATATTTTCCGAGAATCATGAAAAACTTGATCAGTAACTCAAGCTGACAAGACCTAATGCGTATTTTTATCTATTGAACAATGACCTTCTTTTCGCCGTTAAAAAAGAGAAAATCAAACTGTTTGGCGCAAAGTAAAAAGAAAAATTCGCAAACTTACAGCTTCGATACTAACAACACTTCCGCAATTACTTGACGGTTTTCTCTTATAAGCGGATTCAGAATTATTGACTGTTTCAACGCTGATGACACTACCACAGGTACTAGGCGCTTTTTTACGACTGAACGTCTCCACACTGTTAGCATCGAAACTCGTTAGCTGTGTCTCTCTTGGCTCGGACAATGTTTCGTTGGAGTCCTCAGTGGAGTCATCCTTCAAAAGCTGTCCATTTTCATCGATGTCACCCTCATTGACAACAGGCACTCTTCTAGGTGATCTGAAACATAGCATTAGCATTATATGTCATTGAATATTCAATTAAGAATTTTTTTAAAACGTCTTCTTTGAAACAGAAGCGTGAAAGCTAGAAGGACAGCAGAGCAGGTTTCTACAAAAATTTTTAGTTGCTTTAGAAGGTAAAAATGTGCAGTTCAAGATGTGACATGCAAAACATTAAGACTTTTTTAATTAAGAATTAATTCTTTAATATCGTTGATCGCTGACCAATTACCAATTAATATATCGGACCCTCACATACGTGTTGACGACATGGTGTCATGCATGATTAAGTATGAAAAAATGAAATATTTTATTTTAACATTCAAACATGTCAATTAGCATAACAATTAAAATTACCCACTACATCTCAGCCCCTTATGCTATTGACATGTTTAACATAAATCATCATTGCAGCCCTTACTGGGGATAATGGGGGCGTGGTCAGATCGCTCTTTGTTAGAAAGCTGGGCCAGCCAATGTGTCTCAAATATCTGTGCCTATAAATTTCTTTCATCAAGCAATATTTTCCTCAAGTAATATTCTCCTCATCTCGTGCTTTTAAATGAAGTATTTGATACTAAAGAAAAACATATTCTGTTATTGTGGTACCAACAGTGGCGTTTTATATACATTGACCCTGGCTGTAATCACAAATATTGTAAGATGATACACAGTAGCAATATGAATTTGCTTAATTTTATCATTAATCTTTAATATTTCTGCCTGAATGGGAAACTGTAAATCGCAAAAAGGTGCAACTACAGAAGAATGCATTCTACTAAAAGGGTACCTCGAGGCGCCTAGACGATCTGACGTTCCGTACATATCAAAGTAGTTTGAATCCGAGTCCTGATCCAAATCAGATCTTTTCGATCCCTTCACGCCAACGGAAACTGAAATTGAGGCTCTTGATACATCCTGAAGGCTTCGTTTTGAAGGCCTCCTTATCAAATACTTTCCATTGCCATCTTCAACGCATGTGTCCCCGCCATACTATCAATAAAGAAACACAAATTAATTCACGGAAGGGCCTAGATTATCCGATCCTACAAAGATTCAAGATTGAAAAACAGACGGACCTGGTGTCTAGGGTTAAAATGGGAATTATTTCATATATTTATGATTTACTATGGATGTTAGAAAAATGGGCCAGGATTTCTTTCAGAGTTCCATTATTGGTGCCTATCCGAAATCCGAACGAAGTGGAAATGGGCCTTAATAGAGATCCACTTCAAACATATCAATAAAAGTCCATTGGTTTTGACATATACCCTGACATACAAATTTCAAGATTATGTCTATCAAAAATTATCAACGATGAAAGGATTTTCTTGCCCAAAAGAACGGTGACAATGGGGGGAAATTCAAAGACAACCTCCAAAAATGAATAAGGTATATATTGCACTGCGTAACTGCGTCAAGTACTGCGTGAAACATCTAAATACAAGCCCATCCAATTTCCATTATTCATCAACCATCAACTTACAGTAATTGTTTCTTTAACACTATAGGAATGATTGCGTTTCGGTCGTTGAGGGCTCATTGCTCCAGACTTTGTCAGCACCTACACCGATTGAAAAAAGTTATAGTTGAAAACAGAGTTCCACAATCTAAGAATAATACAAAAATGACACAATAGCATCAAATTTAAAAAAACTTGGATCCGTGCTTCATTCGGAATCCTCTCTAACATTCAAATCTTCTAGTGTAGTATGAAACTTGGGGTCATCCTTTATGATTTGGATTCGGTTGGAGAGATGAGATTATTTAGACAACAATGATTAAATAATCCATAATGATTTTCAAATAAAGATCTCCTGTGAGTTCAAAAAATTCATTTTCACGTCCCTTGGGTAATAAATTTCTCTAAAATATTCTAACAAAATCAAACTAAAGTAGCAAATAATTTCAAAGTAGAGTATTCTGATAAATTAGAATATTGATTTATTCAAGATAAAGTTGGATTAAAGCTAATAATAAGAAATTTAGTTTTTAACGTACCATTTTTTCTATGTAGCACTGGTACACAATAAGGAATACTCCCTAAAATGAAGGGCGTTTAATGATCAGTAATCTTATACATTGTACTTCTTACCCAAGACAATACAATTGTAAGCAATAAATGGAATAAAATTTGCAAAATGGTCGAAGGCATTATCGACAAAAAGCCTTCTGAATAAGGTTTTAATCTTCAGTATTACTGTGGCACAGAATCTAAAGAAGAAAATGGTATTTAGAAGATGCTGTTAACAGGGCAAAGCTATGGGGGGAATGCGTGAGTGTCATATCCCCCTTCGAAAACCATTTGACCGCAAAAACCAGGAGATTTTTGCTGTCTAGGGGTGCTTCGTCAGTGAATATCTAGACCTGCCAATAAGTGAAAGATGGCTCGCCAACTTTGTCGGTAAATGGGACTTGGACACCGCTTATGAGCTTAATAGAAAGTGACGGCCCTGGCTGTTAATGCTGCAGGGCCGTCATATATATAATGCTATATCAGTGCATCACTGCTAAGACAAATACTATCTCTCTCGATCTATTTAGAAAACAAAAGTCAAATGTTGCAGCCATTCATAGAGCTTTGTAGATATTCATAGTTGTTAAGTCTTGCAACACTTTTAGTTGAAAGACGCTCCAAGTAGATCATTGTCATGTTAAAGTATACCAACCTCGATTCCGTACAAACCACCGAGAACATAATGGCAGACATAATTTTCGTTGAAACTGAGAAAGGCAGCGAGCGCTAGGATTGTCAGGATATGCATTGTCAGCAAAATTGGCGAACACCATAAGGCAAATCTAAAAATCGATCATGGTGAGAATTTTAATTATTCTATTTAAAGTAGCTTCATTCGGCAGAAATTTCTTTTAAGCCTATTTGCTTGTGGGAAGCATGCACTAACTTTGAAGAGCGATATCATTTTATTGCTTCACTGACACAGCTGCTTTATTTCAGGCTCATCTTCAAAAGATTTTCAAACGAGATTTTAAAGTACTGTTACAATCAAACAGAGGAATAATAAAAGGGATTTCGAGCTTAGATATAAATTCAAACCATCTCTGAAATCCGAGCATGGATATCATTCTTATTTATCTCTTACACTTCACCAGTTTCTAGCCTCGTCATTCTTGTACAATTAATTCTCATAAAAAAGTGCGTGTACCAGTCTTAAACGGTTCGAAAGAATACTGTTGTAATTGAATCGAAAAAATGAGAAATCGTAAATATTTTGAGTCTAATATTGGTAGACACCCAGCATGGCATTTTTTCAAAGAAACTGTTTGAAGCAATACTTCAAATTGCTTGAAAAATTATTTGCTAATACATAAAGCAGTAACTCTAAAATATTTTAACCAAATATTGATTATAATTTTACAAGGAAGAAGGCGCCAGCACATACTTGGTATATTTGAGTACAAATGTGTTGAGGAGGTCCTTGTTCTTCTTCAATGACGTTGAAATAAACGCATACAGTATCACGGTTACCTGGCAAAAGGAAGAAAGGTTTCAGGGCTAACTAGCAAACTAACTAGAGGGAAATCTCCCCTCCAGCCCCCTGTGACTTTGTGTTGTATTAAACAATAGTAGGCAATTGTCCTCCTTTTTCTATCAACTAAGAGTTACCCCAAACTAACTTTCGAAAAGGTTATGGAAGCTTTAGTATGTAATACTTGCAATATTATGAAAATTATGCAACTAACGAAAGTAGGATAGTTATGGGCTTTGATTAATGAATGTTTTTAGGGGCAAGCTATTTTAATTCCTAGAAGTTCATTGCTGTTTAAAATAAATATTATGGCAATGCTACCTAATTTTATAAAAATTTTACCAAAAATCACAACCGCCTAAAAAAGTATCGGCTTAGAGATGAATGAGACTTCCGATGTGGTTTAAACAAGAAATTATTTTACACTTTAATCGAAATTCGGAAATTATGGGGAAGGGGAAAGAAGCCAGCTTTATCCATAACTGCTTCAATTAGTAATTACATGGAATAAACCACAATAACAAAACTGGCAATAAACAAAGTTAATACTTACAATGAACAAGGCAAATACCGGAATACCGGTAAGAAGAAAATGGCTGTATGAAGAAAGATCGATCCAACACCTAGGAAGGAAATTCAGGAAGCATTACAAATGCGACACTGCCACTTCAGGTTTAGACAATGTAATGCAATTCAATCTTTTAGACTTTGTATAGGTTTGTTAAGTCATAAAAATACGGAAGTAACATTCATGCGGCTAAGCCTAGGTTCCTGGGTGTGATCTAGAAAGAAAAAGAGATCTAGAAAGAAAACAACGCAGTACTACGGAATAAACACAGAAATGTCGATATTAATATATCGTGTATTGTATAATTATATTTTGCTCCAGCCTTAAGAAATAATGATATCATGAAAACAACATAATTAGGGGACAAAATACTATTACAAACTGTTCTGTCTTAACAATAATTATTCTAACTCTGTTCCATCATTGCAGGCACTGTGGGCAACTCAAGTCTTTACCCGCATTCAAAGTGTATGGTCTGGTAAGAAGGCTTTTCAAAAGACAAGGGCATGTAGGGGTTACGGAAATTTTATACAATCTTGACTGTAAATCGTTTAGGCAGCATAATTTCGCCCCATCGATGATACTAGGTGAAGATCAGAGCTTGACGGCCTACCTCAGAAATTTTTTCTTCAAATGCAGAAAAAATATAGTTCAAGCTTACTTACCAGGATGTGATCTTTATTTTACCGAAAATAATCAGCACTAGAGACAGGCCAACGACTACGGTGGGAAATCCTGGAATAAAGGGAGAAACACATTAAACCCTGGTGTATTCAAAAAAGTGCATAACATCGAGAGCAAAGCATGCGTCCTTTAAATTTTATACATTCAAACCTTTCTTGTACTTGGGGTCAAGAAAATCAGTACTACAGAAATGCAGGAGATACCCGCAAAAAAGTTCCTAACGATTCAAGAAGCTATAGACTTTCTTTGATTATGTCCTTCTTTTCTGGACCATCTAACATCTTGAAAAAACCCTATTGTCAGGTATCGCGGAATGAGTTCATCATCAGCAAAAATTTTATAGGTAAGAACTTGATATAAAACGTTGAAATTATCAACAGCCTTTGCTCATAAGGGCAGAGTATCTAGCAAGTTTTCAGCCCGGCGCCGGAGTTGACTCGTTTCAACTACCCGGCCTACCTAATGCGATATCTATGTAATCTTGATTCACCTGGCAAGCGGAATATAAATTTCTTTAGCTGTTGCTTGACTGAAAGTCCTCATATAATATCAGAACACTGTAAACTTTCATTCAAGGCCTGGCTACCGAGACAGTCCATCTATCGTATCAAAAGGTCATCTATCGTAGTCGCATAGTCAGCCACAAGGCCTAAAGTCTGGGACTCTTGGACTTCAAAATGAGTTAGAAAGTTTGAGGGGTGTATTATTGAAAACAATGTAAGGGGGTTTGGAAAATTCTGTTAACCTTGCAAAGATAACGAAAGCTTATAAGAAATCTGGAATTTGCTTTTGAATAAACTAATAAACTGGTTACTTACATTATGAAATAAAATCGATTTTCGATTTTCAAATTTTGATGTACTTGGCAGTCATAGAAAATATGTCAAATTCGGCACCTCAAAACCGTAACTTATTGAGCCATTCATAATAATCATATCAACTTGAATTTGAATGCAGCAGCTATACAATGTTAAGTAAATAGCAAAGGGATTTTTCTTGTATAATCGATTTTCTTTTTGTAGTGATTGTAAAGACACATGCAAACAATATTTTTCGTTTCTCTTTTTGCTGGATATCTGACAAAGGAGCGGTAAATAGTAATTAACGTTGCATTTTGATGGCAATACCAGCAAAATATATATATCTGCAAAATTTTAATTTCATTACGCCTTCCTAAGATTGTAAATCAAATAGCAACCCCAGTTAGCATGATACGAATCACGAAACGATAGCATGAAACGAGAGCATCAATAGGCTAGGCCTAAGAAAACAGCTGCTTGGCATTCAAGAAGCCTTGCAAAAAATTACAAAAGAACTCCTGGTATCAACATTGCCACGGTGCTCAAGCTGATGATTGCATAAAAAGATTTAAAAGCCAGTTTGTGACATATCCGCTGGAAAATGCAAAGAATGCTGCACTATAAAATTTCCAAGGAATCATTCAAATCGAAACAATGATCTTGCAAACCTTAGATAACATTTGGAAAATAGCGTGATATAGATTTATCTAACTCGATCTAGATCAGAGATCGCCCCTTTGAAAATAAAATTGGAGGGGCATCAGGTAAAAAATGGCTACAAATGATATACAATATATCGAGCTAAAACGTACAGGGAAATCACCCTACCCCCTTCGCAAAACCCCCTGCATATACAGGTGGCCGGTTCTCCGCTTCTAATTGTATGCGATCAACAAAATATCCAGCAACGAAACTGAACAGTTGATTTGCTTTGAATTCAATACGTGGCGTTTCATCATACCTGCGCACATGCTAATCCGCCCCTCCACCCTAACTTGCCACTCGTGACTTTATTTCGAATGAGTCACGTCTTACAACTGAATAAGGATTTTCGAAAACGGGCAAGATATTCCTCTTTCTGGTCAAACGTCAATTCATAATCTGAGATCTTTTCAACCGTGCGGTCAAAGATGCATGAAACAAGATTTAGCGTCTGTTTGTTCTAGGGGCAACGTAAGCATAAATGACAAAAGCGCTGCACGATGGGCAACTGATAAGCATAAACTTGCTGATCTAATGAGAATCAAGAACAGACGTGAAATTTCTTGGAAAATTCACGAACAAGATCTTTTGTAGGCCTTTGCTATAACGAAGCAATTCTTAAAAAGCAACCCAAAGCATATAAAGGGATCATTCGGATCCTATAAATCTGTATATTTAGATTCGTTAATACATTCGTCGGCTTTAGAGGTGCATGTTTTTAAACTCCGTATATCTTACAATGACAAGACACTTCAAATAGTCAAAGGTGTATTTGCCGTTCTCTTGAACGGCAGGTGCTACGCCCTGATCTCTAAAGTTGAGGGGACATAAAGTTAAAAAAATTGTTATCAATCCATTTCACTGAAAAATCTGAAATCTTTGTCGTGGTCCTTGAAAGCAGATGAAGGCGCGTACAATATGAATGCAGCTCACAAAGACAAAAATACAAATCTCATACAACAATACTGCATATTTCATTTCTGTATTTAATCTAATTCAATCATTAAATTTACAATTATATGCGCGCCTGATAACTTATGATCGACAACTTACCACCAAAACAAACCGCTGATAAGACCGATAAAGATAAAGTTCGAGTTTGACATAAATTAACAGTATTAATTTATGCTTTCTGGTAGTTCAGTATTAACTGTGAAAAGGGCAGGACTGGATTTGAAATCACAGTGAAAATGTCCAAGTATTTGATACTCAGAAGGAAAAGAAGGCAAAGTTCGCAATAGGAATAGAACCATATGTATTTACATTTCAAATTAAAATCTCTAGTGTATTTCAAGCAACGTGCATTGAAGGTAAATGTAAAAAGTATGTTAAAATCGAATCGTCGTTAAGTTCGACAGCAATTTGAAAGGTACTTTTTCCATCATCAGCAACCGCCATTATGTCAGCGCCTCGTTTTACTAAATAATCGATAATCGGCAGGTTCTTCGCCAAGACTGCAACTCTCAATGGAGAAATGCCATAAAAATTATAACAATTTATAATAGAACGATTATCAACTAAGTATTCCACGCACTGAATATTTCCACCACAGACAGCTGCAAATAATGGAGTCCAACCCTCAGAGTCAGGAAAATTGACGTCCGCCCCGCATTCTACCAAAACTTTGACACATTTTAAATTTCCATAGTAACAGGCCTCGTGCAATGGTCCTACGCCATGAAAGTTCAATGTATTTATATTAACTTTCTTGTCTTTAAGGATACTCTTCAATTTTTTATGCTTGCTGTTTTTTATTGCTCGTAACATTTCTTCCAAACAGTCCTGTTCCTCTGAGAAGTACGTATTAAAACTACAGTCTGAACTTGCTCTTGACAAATTACGTTTCTCGAGGCTTTGTTCAAGTATTCCTGGTAAAAGAGACTTCTGTTTTTGTTTCGGTGTTCCTGGCGTAAAAACGCCGCTATTGCTGCTAAATTTTCGCCATCTGGCCCGTAAAATAGGCGAATCTATAGCCCTCTGTCTGTTTAACTCCACTCTCCGAGCAAGTTCTGCGAATATCCCTCCTTTACCACTCATGTTTCGCCAAACACGGACGTTACAATCAGCAAAGAAACCTAAATATTTGGCTTTGTGTTTATGGTAGCTGCCCAGCTTTTCTGTGTCTTTGAATCAAAGCAAATCGATCGATTTCTTTGCTTTACGTGCAATTACAAATATAAATTACCAATCAAATATCCAGCATGCGCGAACAGGTTGACACAAACGAATCCATACACAGCTTTAAAAAAGTGTCGAAATAACGACGGCTGGTAAAGATGGTCTGCTTTCTCCAATAAACACAATTTACCAAACTGTCACTAAATTGTGAAAATCGCTTTTTCAAGGCAATCTGACGAAATCCTATTTGCATAAACGTCAATAAAAGCGAAAACACATGCCGTATAATTACGCAGACAGTAGAAGACGTCCCAATTCAGGACTCATATTCCTCTGTAACCTGTTGACATCTCTTTCGATTAAACACGTCTCCTCATCGCCATAGACGAGCAGGTCTGGCACTTGGTCATAGCTAACAAACCACAAGGAAGGAACGAGCTAGCAACAAATCAATCGAATGTTTCCGCCTTCAGTTAGAAACTTATAGATACCATATCCTAAAGCGAGGGAGTGATTTCACAAGCTCTGCAATCATCCTAGTCTCTGTATTGAAAACATCTATTGTTTCATCGTCTATTGATTTTACGTTCTAAGCTTTTCTCCGTTTGTTGATAAGATGAACCTCGCTGAGAATTCAATTCAGATATTTCTGATCGGCTTTAAGAACCCTAGGAGTTTGTTTCAAACAATGATAAAACCAAATAAGCGACCCCGAATGTCCATCGGCGTTTAGTGACATGTTTGTAAACCGATTAAATAAAGACTAAAATGGACAAACATTAAGTGTATCAAAAATATCTAGCAAAGAAAGACACCATTAATGATTATTTACTCTACTTTATTCATATGGAAAGAAAGGATTTCAAGACAGCTAAACTCTTCAGTCCCTATGAACATAGAAATTCAGCCAAAATTGTACACCAAATTTTGATATTCTCAAGGATTATTTTCGATTACAAGGCCACTTGTTTGACTCCACCAAGTTCAAAATTCAAGTTTCATTTTATTGTCAATGGTAGTTTTTAGGACACTGATAAGCTTTGCTTATCGCGCAGTGTCCTGGTCCTTCCACTTAATGTGACCACACCTTGTGATTCCTACACCTGGAAATGCAGAGAGCTGGCGACTCTACTCGCTCTGAATGAAAGTTTGGGTTCTGGATCTGTAGTCCACGACCCTAACCACTAAACCTCATTTTTTAATAAGAACCAGTAAATTCATGTTCAGGCTCATGTTCAGGAAATTTATTGCCAACAAAGTGGGGCAAGCAGCTTTCAGAAAAGGCACCCACACATGGCTAAAATTACTCGTTTTTGAGATAAAACGTTGTTGAAAATTCCACTTTACTGTAGCTCAGCCTCAGCTTGTTCTTAATTTGTTTTTAAAGGCAACACCGGAACGCTTTGCGACTATCATACAAAATACTGACCTGATATCGTATTGCATGAAAATAAAAAACATAGAGCATTTTACTTTTGACTAATTTTGAGGCTCGTATTTTTTAAAATCGTTCTTATAAAAAAAGAGTGTAGTTTGCGTCATTCCCCGTTGACTTTTACAAAAACCTTCAAATCATAATATGACAGATTAGAAACAAGCTTAATCCTGGCAACATACACCAAGAAATGGAGATGGGGTCGCGAGGGCAATAGGTTTGGGCCCATTTTTCGGAAATCCCCTATCTATGAAAAAGTAATAGTACCTCTGCCATAGTTTAACCTCTGCCCCTCTCTGTCTGGGGATTTAATTCGCGGTGAAAAGGTTATTTCCTTCAATTTTGACGATTGTGGTTATAATGAGGACGGAAATAATGATTAAACTACCCTGTGCGGAAATACGCAAGCCCCCTGTTCACACTGCCGAAATATATTGCCATGCTTACCAGGCAGTCAATGGTAATACTGTAGCTATATTTTCAACCATTCACCCCACATAAACAAGTAATTTACTGCACAATCTTCTATAATTGTGTTTGCTGAATCCTACAGCCTTAAAGATTGCATCCGTATGGCAAGAATTCCGTTTGTGAATCAATTATTCGCCCTTAAAAACATTAAAAAGGAACGTCGAATGTAAGAAAACTCTTCATTTTATGGACGTCATAACAAAGAGAAATTGCTTGAAAAGCACAGCTTTCACCAACCCCATCAACATAGAAACGACTGAAGTGCCGCAACATGACTTCATGGCAGCAACAACAGGCTGTGACGCATTAACGACACATGAAGAATTCAATTCATTCAATTTTATTTTGTCTTCTTCGTTCAATTTAATTGGATTTCGGTGTTTTCTAGTCGAGGCGACTGTTGTGATCATCTGCTGAATTTTCAATAGCTCGAAACCTAAGCTGCTGAATTTCCAATAGCTCGAAACCTAAGGTTTCGGTCATAAGCCGTTACTTTTATAAACTGGGTAAAGAAAACATAGATATATTGCTTTACAAAATATGATGCTTTTACATCATTAGAAACTAGATCCTGGGTATTTTGCTGCCGGAATCCCTTAGTAAGCAAGTGGAATAAAATTTTGTGAAAACTTTATGATTTAAACACTTTATAATTCATTTTTTTCTTCTATCATAAAAATATTCTGTAAAGTATCATAAAGTTAAAAAAATGAATATTTACCGAATAAAAAAATACAAAACCGAATAATGCAAACCGAATAAATTGTGCTGGAGAGTCAGCCTAAAGGAAATTTGCATTTAACCTAACAGCAAGAGTTGGATGAAGGAATGCAGGGGTAGCCACCAGAATTACACTCCAAAATGAACCATAGTTCTTTTTCTGATTGAAGCTTACATACCCTACAATATTCAAGGGGCACTCATATCCAGCCTCTGCTTAAGGTTGAGGTAGGGATATTTGGCGAGGTATTCCTTTAGGTTTCACGGCTTCAGTGAAAAAAATTCCACAGAAGTTTTTGGCATTTAAGGTATCAACAAAAAAGTCGCATCAATGTAAAGCGACGAAAAAAAAATTAACAATAAATTTCGTACACCATAAAGGCACGAAAAAGCGGGAAAAAACATATGACACCAAAGTATATATTTAATATTTTTTAATAAAATTACTGTATCCGCTTTCTCGTGCCTTTTTTCGTGCGATTTTCTCGTTCCAGAAACTGAGAAGATAATAAGGTTCCTAACCTCTTGATGGCTTAAAAGAGGCTGTTTTTAAAGGTAGATAATTATGGTCTCTTAATTCAAGTCTCAATCTAAGCTTTAAAAAAGATCCACGAAAATAGAACCAATCACTGTCTGGAAAAACGTGGTCAGGTCACCTTTTCATAAGTAAAAGCCAAAAAATACGTCATATTGAATAAGGCACCTTAAGAGATAATTGAATGATTATTAATCTAACCACAGATCGACCCACAAGTCTACCTTCTTCCTATCAACACTGTAATTTTCAAACAAAGAACGTTATGATTCAAATCGCCAGCCACGTTGATTCGAAAATGACAAACATTCACTTTGAAGACAACTATTGGTCATAGCAATAAATCTAAATTTTGAGGCAACTACAAATTCGGTAGTCCCAGGCCACATTATGCGCCACTAAAACTATCGATGCATCAGTGCATTTTCGATGCAAGACAGAAAAAAAGTTAAAGAATGCTACAGCATTGAAAATACATAGTTTTCACACATTATTTTGATACAGTACAACAATTAAGTAAACACCACAAAAAAATGGGCACCTCCAAGAAACAGACAAGTTCAAGAAACGAACGCCTCCAAGGGACAGACACCTCCAAGAAACAGAGACCTTTAAGCAAGAGCCACCTCAAAAAAACTGACACATTCAAAAAATGGACATCTTCAAGGAACAAACGCCTCCAAGAAACGAACGCCTCCAAGAAAGGGAGACCTCAAAACCTTGTGCAAGAGTCCTCCCAAGAGTCTTTCCTGCAGCTAAAGCCTTGTAGAGTGACCTTAAAATAACGGACTGTAATTTTTGTTCAAAAGGTGTTTCTTTAACGGAGGTTTTATTTTATAAAGAAGGATTCATAATTAGCTCTATCCCGATTGGACAAGGCTTTGTATGCCTTTGTACTTGATGCAAGCTTCGCTACAAAACATTCTCAAAAAACAGCTTGAATACCTTGTCTTACAGTAGAAACCCGCATAAAAGAACCTAGGTTTTTTTCTGGCAGCCTGAATAGGTTCTTAATTAACAGACTGCTATTCTAAATTCCAGTCTAAAAGGTTCTTAACAAGGTTCTTATATACGTACAGGCCTTGCACACATCAACAATGTTTTCCACCGCGCAAGAATTCTAATGGACACACTTAAACCAGCTTTGTTTTTCATGTTAAATTTCAACCAATAAAATGAATTTGTGTTGTTAGGTTGTCCAATTAGAATGCAACATAGCTACCATAACCTGATTTACTCTAAGCTGGTTTAATTTGCCAGTGTTTATAGGGTGTCAAAATACCACTCTATAAACTCTTTTTTCTTATATATGTAGATATATATAAGAACCTTTCCAAATTTCGGCTTCTTGGGGGTTCTTAATTATGGGGTTGAAAAGATTAAATTTAAGCCTCAAGGTTCTTATAAAAACAGGTTCTTTTATGCGGGTAGTAGATCAAGCGTTTATTGGTACTTCAACTTTCATAAAAAAATCTCACCAAAGCTTATCAACGAAACACATTTCCTTGTATTTTCCCTCTAATTATGATTCCACTATCATTTTCTCCTAACAGAGCAAGGCTAGCAAAGGACACTTCGTGATGCTAAATATGGCCAAATTTCTATAAACTCAAGAACGATGCTAAAAAACAAATTTGGCTTAATCATGCCCTGATATTGCAGACTAGCTAGATGAAGCTACTTTAACATTTACGTGAATGGTATATCATCTTAAGCAATCTTTATTGCTCTTATTGCTTTAGTGAAAGCTTATTTCTAGATGAGGTAAACAGTAAGCCGCTAATGATATAGATACAACTCACCCCATCCGAGAAGGTAAAACATTGCTAGTTTGCCACTGCCTTTGTCTATGACAGTTCGAGTTGAGAGGAATATCTGAACTGCTTCAGCCAACATCCAGCTGAAGAAAGCTATGAAGAACCATTGAAGCGAGGCTGACAATACCAGGCAAAAATACTGCAAAAACAAAGGTCTGAATCAAAAACAAGCGCTGTGCAGGACAGCAATAAGTGCAGGTTCCCAATAACTAGGTAACGGTCATTTTTACGTAGCGACAAAATTTGGTCCCTAAATGCTCATAGACAGGCGGAAATTTTGCTGAAATAGGGATGAAAGAGGGTTGGTAACAAACATAGACCCCTCATTTCAAGTCAGCCGATGAAAAAGGTAAATTATTAAACATTAAGAGAGAAAGCTAAAATAAGAGCAATATTGGATGTGTTATTTTGTTGACCAGCGGTGTTGACTTAAAAAAATGAAAGTCTCGACATCTCTGAATCAAACCTAAATTTTTTGGCTTTTACAGCAAGTAACAACACGTAAAACCGAAGCTGAATAAGATAAATATACTGAAAAAAGGTAAGAAACGACCCAGGGAAATGAAAACACGTTGCAAATACATAACTGGCAGGCACCGGTAAGCATAAAGATGCAAGCTGATAAAAATAATTTAGGGTTTAGAGGGCCATATTCAGACACTGTCATTTTCACTGTCAACAAAACCAACAAAATCATCCCTTAGCTAACGACCGATTTTTACCAATTTATTCCATCTGAAATAACACAAGTTAAATATCACTTTTTGCCTGTCATTTCCTTATAAAATCTTCTTAGTTTCGTTAAAAAGTAACTGACCAACTGGCGATTATTCAATAAAAGAGAACAAAACGATGCCGAAATAAAATGACGCCTACAAACACAATCCCTTTTAGGACATATTGTGCTCACGAATTTTAACGATGAGAGAAAAGTTCCATCAGACTTTCTTGAAAGTAACTCAGCATAGGGCAAAGGGAGTAGGAGTGATGCAGATTGGGTATTGTGTTCTCAACACACAAGCATTACCTGGAATCAAACCTATGGTAATTTTGCGAATTATATGCTTTAAATATCCCAAAAAAACAATATCGGAAAATAGAATAATGACGTAACGAACAGTAGCGTTTTGTTTAATTCCAGTTGACCTCTTCTAGAACAGCTTTCAGAGTTTATAATGAACGGTTTCTCATTGAACAAAATCGGTGTAGTTGAATGGTGGGTTGCAATTTCATGCCAGGTCTAGGAAGACTTAGGACAGTTGATCTTAATTCTAGGTTAGTGAAAAGGCGTTGCATTATGGGATGTCTATGCATATGTAATACTGTATCTGCAATACATATAACTTCTTTTCTCAAAGACAACAGTCTTGAAAAGATAACATGAAAAGATAACAAGAAAAGATAACTACAACATACCTTGGCAATATCTTCCTTGATGAGCTTAAAAGAAGATAACAACGCGCCTCCGAGGAAAATTGCAGAACCAAGAAGAATACAAGCGCACATGTTGATCATGATGATCCGTCTATCTGATCTCACATGACTGTAAAAACATACAAAAATGAAAAGCATAGTTGGTTTTCGGAAGCAAACAAAATTTACTGAAAATGTGAATTGCAATGGCTGTTTCCTCGGTTCTGGGTCAGCATCGCTGCCCAGTTTTACAAACAGGCAAAATATTCAATAGATAACTTTAATTTAAGCGACTTTTTACAACGATCCTGTTTAACCCAAAATTATCCCGTAAAAATGCGTATTTAAAGAAGCAAGGGAAACGTTCTTATCAGCTGATACCGTCCAAGTTCATCTACAAATACATTACTTTTATTGTAAATTGTAATGAATGCGACATGAACGTATAAGAACTTATCGGTCTCCTACCAGGGAATACTTCGAAGAAAATAAAATTATCATTAGGGAGCATGCTTTTTATGAGCAGAAATGGCCTCTCCCAATGGCGATCCAAGCATAGCGGCTGTCTTACACATGCAAATATAAATTCGATTATAACTTTCTTTTCACTGAAACATGAAATATTTCGCTTTAAGCAAGGCGCGGTCCAGTTAAACTGGGAATTAAATCAAAGCCTCAGTTTTGCTATAAGAATATTCATTATACTTGTAAGGCTTTGGAGAAAGAAAGTGACTTGAAAATTGGATGGAAGCTGTCGTTCGGGATATCTTGCAACCAGTAACGTGCGATTTCAAGCTTTGTTGACGTCATCATATCTGAAGAGCTGCAGTTCCTTCTTAACTAAGAAAATCACAATAATCTTGTTAACTGAAAAGGCAATTTAACAGAAAAAAATTATTTTTAAAATCACTTACTTTGAAAAGCACAAATGAGATATGCAGGTGAGAAAAGCGAAGAAAATTGAAAATCCACAGCCAATAATGACACTCAGACTCAGCGACAAGACGAAGTACTCTGGGCCTTTTTGCTGTGTAAAAAATTGATATGTAGATCAAAAAAGAAAAATAAGACGTAAGTTGAAACAATGATTAACAACTGGGTTTGTTACAAAAATGGTTGCATTTTCAGGAAAAAACAAAGTTAGTTTTGCTTAGTAACGTTAAAGTTCTCTACGTGTCCGAATATATCCCAAATTTTCCCAAAATAAGCCTAATCACACGCTTGTAAAAAAGCGCGAAGTTTCAAATATAAAATACAATAACACTTACTAAGTACATTAGAAATGTGATCTTGTTTTAGCAGACCTAACATTTCAAGAACTTGGCATTTTTTATTCAAAATCCCAAATCTGACTTTATTTCACCACATAAAAAAAACCAGAACGTTACGTCTGAATAGGCAAAATCGTGGGGTTACCCGAAAAATGCGATGGTTAGATGCCACTTAAAAAGGAGTCCTTGTTAACGATTTCCCATTACAGAAAATCTAGGTATGCAGAAAAGGAAAGTCATTTTAAAAGAATACAGTAAATTAAAACATATTATATATTTTGTGGTTCACAAACAGTTCATGTCCTTCAATATATTATTCAACTGGTAAGATCCCGTTCCTCAATCTTTTAGGAAGTCTATTATACTCAATCAATCAACTGGTCAATTTTCTCTGAAAACTTTGACAGAAAAGAATTGACAGACAACTTACTGCTCCATTGATAGGTCTTCTCTCGATCACTGCAAAATTTGTCAAATGATCGCATTCACAAACGATTGTTGATTTCGATTGCTGAGCAGTTTGATTCGTATGCAAACGGCAGCCTTCATTTGACCAGTCACCACCTTTTAGCCTAAAGTAAACGATTAAGGCAATATATGCCATGGTACACAGGTTATCATAGGTTAAATAGCCCAAATTAAAAGTTTATATGGCTTGAAAAGATATTTATCATTTAATATGTATGCACGTGAAAACATATATGTCGATAGTAAGAAAGGAATTGACGGTTGCAAAATCAATGTCACAGCGAGCTGAACTGCAATGGTGATGATGATTTATGATTTATGATGATTTATGACGATTTATGATAAATTATGATGAATTATGATGATTTATGATGATTTATGAAGATTTATGAAGATTTAAGATGATTTATGTCGCTAATAACGACTAAATAATGAAGCTGATTATGCTGTATAGAAAAATATGGACTGGTGCGTAAATGAAAGCTACCATCCAGAAAACACAGAATAGAACAGATTGTCAATTTGAGAAATTTCTCATCTGCTAAGACTGTAACCCGAAATTAGATTAAGGTAATATGCATATCAAGGATATGATTTTGAAAGAAGAACTGTCAGGGCTATCGAATTAGGAAACAGACTGATGTCATACAAAATTAAACATAATGCGTCTCTTACGAAATCATTTTACTCACTTATTAAACTTCCAAAAGACGCACTCTGGTCTCTTTGAGTCAGCCTTGGAAAAATAAAGAGTAAATTAATCGAAAAATAATAATGGATTTAACACTTTGAGGGTTGGGTACCAAATAAATGTATTGCTTCTAATGTTAAAGTGTGAAATCTCAACATGCTGGGGTTTTTTCTGGCTTCAAAACGTATTTTGAAATTAGGGCATGCGCTGGTACTGCAAGTAGAATGGTGGGTTGGATTGTAAGTGAATGCTTAGCTTAGTATCGAGACATTGGCGCCTGTTTCGCGATGCCAAGCTACGTAAATGCTCGTTTAATCCTTTCTTTTAGATTACATTCTTTTATATTATTATATTATTACAGCAAAATACCAAACTTAACTGCTGTAATCTGCTTGCGAGTAAGAGATTAAGTCAGCTTTCAAGTCTAAACGTAGAATAATACATAATCCAGTCGAAAATTTTATTAACAAAAAATCAAACATAATGTTTAAAGCTCTTTAAACAAAGATTTCACCCTTTACTTGAATAACTACCAAACACTCTGCAAATTCTCAACAGATTGGACTCTTGAGTAAATAATACCATAAATTCGGATCAACTTTGACTGATAATTTTCTCGGCTTTTTATGATACATCATATCGCATCTTGTTTTCAAGTGGGTTAAAACATGAAATTAGGGTGATGAAGGCTTGAAAAAGGAACTCAAAACCCTGCAATCGAAAGTCATCAGGAATTCTCACTAGATAGTGAGATTGTGGTGAGATAACAAGAAAACAGAGTTCGCCGATAATGATGAAATGATGTCATGATGTGGTAGCGTAGAGATTGCAGATGCTATCTGATGAATTCTATTATCTTTTCTAGTTGCATTCGTGTTATTAAAGAAGTGCAAATCAAGGGAACTAATTAACGAACAGGGCCTTAAGTTCGTGAAAAATAGCTTGATGACGTCAACAAAGCGGGAAATCGTCATCAACAGTGTGCGAAATATTCTAGGCTACAGCTGTCAAGCCACAATCTTGGGCATTCCACTTATCGGCATTGCGCTTTCCATAAGAATATGTTCTTTAAGACTGAGAATCCTAAAGGAGTATAGGTGGAGGAAATATTCATAGGTAAATCTTATTTCTGGCCTTATATTTACCAATGTTTTATCAGATCCTCGCTAAATAGATATTTTCACAAAACCGAACTTGCTCGCCTTTATACTCCTACATGTAATGAAAAACACAAGCCAATTTTGTTGTCGCTACAAATCTATCAACTTTTATGAATCTTACCATATTCTTCTTAAACTCTAAAATCACAGGCTTTTCCAACGGTTTTCCATCTTTCATACCAGCTACAGTTAGTGATATAACTTTTCCAACGAAGTGTGCACTGGGAGAAAATTCAAAACATTAAGAAAAGGTTAAGAAAACATCAAAAGTGTACATTTAATTCACGTATTCACGGAAAAGGAGTTGGAGCAAAAAATTTCAATTCACTAATTGGTCCTGAGAAAATATATAAAATGCCTGGGCTTGAAATGTATGAGTGACAACAAAGAATGTAAATCAAGGAAAATGATTCAGATAATTGAGATTAAGATGTTAAAAATTGCATAAATATTTTTTCTATTTCACTAAGATACCGCAAGTATCGCAATACATTCCTTCTAGGTTATTAAAACCTGCATGAAAGCAAAAAATTCAACCAGGAATTAGGAAACGGAAATTGGGGTCCAAAGGTGAAAAATTCCGGCAAAGACCATGGTTTACAATATGCATACATGGCATAAAATGTACAATGTTCGGTTGTTCAAAAAACAATAGGAAATAGAAATCGTTTTTGACTCTTGATCAAAATGTATTAAATATCTAGGCCAATGAAAATGTCTAGGTCTAAAACAAAGCCCACACGTCTAGGCCCACACGTAAGTAACATCGAAGATTTCCTTTATCATGAATTCCACTGATTTTCGGAAATTCCTAATCTGTCCCAAGACTTACCGAGTGACGTCATTGCTAGTGCGGTCTCCAAGTAGATCATCCAGGTTCTCGTATTGAATGAGTATGGCCAACGAATTTTTCACTGCAATAAGAAAATTTTCAGTGGAAACAGCCACTCAATTAGAGTGAGATACTTGGTGGACAAGAAGAGTCTGGAGAGGTATCATATTTTGCTAGATGTGATATTTTTAGGAGAGCACTCCCTGACCCTAGGCGACCTGTGATTCGTTGATGCAGTTAAAAAACTCCTCGACGTGTATGACACGAGGTTAATCGAATTATTCTAATCGATTCTTCACCTTCACCAGATCCTTTCTATCCTCACTAGGACGGATAAAAAGTGATGCAAATTGTTGTTGAGAGAAACATCTCCAATGTATACCTATTATTACTTACAAAATGCAATCGCAAAGGCTGGTATGTGCATTGATACACTAGAATACGTTATTTAATAGGCATAACTAGCAAGAGTACAGCTCAATTTGGGCGTGTTGTTAATTTAGCATGCCTCTGTAGTAAACAAGTTCCAAGTGAATTTGGACCACTAGATGTCAAACGCATAGATCTGATTCATTTCCACAATCGCTGAAGAATGAATAACAAACAAGCACTAACTACTGTAGACCGAATGGCTGAGTGCTAATCAGACATTCTGATACAAACACGTAATGTGGATACAAACATGTGAAACTTGACTTAAAATGAAAACAAAATCAAGTTCCTAGGAATCAGTTAACGTTTCAACGTTTAAATAAGACATTCTAAATAAATTCAGCTTGGATTCAATGCCTTACGTTTTCTCAATGTGGCTTTCTGGAATGCCGCGCTAGACCCGAGGGAGCTCCCAGATTTTATTGAAATGATCGCTCGATTGGGGTCTGTCGAATCGGCCAAGTTCTTCAAACGTACAACTGGGAACAAAAAAGGGAATCTTTACAAAGAATACAGAAAAACATAAAATGTTTTTGTTAAGCAAACCTTGCAATCATTTTTAAGTGCACAGTATACATGACTTTCAAACGTGTGAAAGTACTTCATGTATAAGACTCGTCAAATGAAAGATTTCCTTAAAAATCGAGTCAGAGGAGACTACGAACACAAACAGGTAGAACGATTAAATGGACATCATATTTGCAACAGACATAAACCTAGCAGTATACAAAAGGTGACTGGCTAATTCCAGTCAACTAGCTTGTAAGTATGACAGCTAATTAATCAAGCCAAAATTATGTCTATCAGTATTTGCGATGAATTAAGTGGCATACCTATGTTTCTATTGACGATTTCTATATCTCCAGTAGTGCCAGATGAGGTCCAGTCCTTCAGCAATTTTCTACAATAACTGTCCACTATCGACAATAGTTCTGATGCATCAGTTGTCTCCTGTAACGAAAATTGTCGGTCCTCGTGAAATCCAATGAATTCTCAGCATTGATTCTCAGCAGGCTCAAGGCCAATTAATTCGACAATTGCTGCATTGCATTGAAATAAAATTGATACTCAAAAGCTGTGACAAAATTAAAGTCAGAATAAGACGAAATAATTACAAAACACAAAACTTCTAGAACAAACCATTGGGAAGGTCAAACTCTACCAGGCCCAGCCTTACTGAGAAAAATGCTTTTGAGATATTTTCTTGTCAAATACGATTACTGGAAAAACCATACCTCTTGTCTTTTTTTCCAAACTTTCTTGCTGGCCTTGTCAAGCAATGAACTTACAACTGTTGTAAATATCTAAAAGTCAGAGTATAAAAAATATGTGAAAATATGGAAGATTCCATTCACGCGATCATTTTTTGCACACTCTAGACTGGTAGTTAAGGGGGGGATAGGTCAGGTATTTCACCAGAAGTGTTTATAAGGAGAGTTATTTTTGCAGTTTTTACTGTTCACAATACATACAAAAGTTTAGAGAAGTCGTTTTAGAACTCAGCTTCTTGAACATTGCCACACAAGCTACTTTTTTTACGAACTCTTCACAAGAGCTTCACAAGGTGCTATGTCGATTTTTTCTGATCGAAAACTATTAGTAAGAAATTAAATTGTCTTCATAGTTTATTATCGGCCTCTCTAATACCCTGTTTACTGTTGCTTTCAAATTGAACGTACGAGCAAAGCTTTTATACAACATCTTTAAGTAATATGATGTACAACTTCTAAACTATGGGCTATTTCAAAACCTAGACTATTGGCTATGTATGCATTTGAGCCCCTTTTATCTTCAAAGTTTTTTTTGAAACTAACTTCTGAGTAGTCCTTTTCCCGATACAAGCTTAAGAACCAGTGGCAATTTACACAGGCCATTACCTTTGTAAGCAATTAATATAACTGAAATGAACTAACCTCTAGATTTTTAAGCGCATCACTGCTGCTGACCAGGGGCTGGGGTTTGGCAGCTAAGACTGTTCTGAGAGCAGAAAGCGAGGCATTCAGATTAATGAGTTTCTTCTTCATGTTTGACAGTTTGCCAATGGAGCGAGAATGATCCAGCACGCTAGATAACAGGCTGGCTTCACTGACAAGGCCTTGGGTAAAATTTGACATCTGAAGAATAAGAGCGCAAAATAATAAGAATTCGTAACATCGCTTTCATATAGCCATAGCAAGATGGAGGCATATGGTGGGAAGGCTCCAAACCTTAGGCCGTGGCTCTGAGTGCTTTATATAGCAATTAAGTAGCATCTGTCCAGAAGTTCTTTGTGGGCTGCTGAGACATTCCCTTAACTAGATCCTTTTATAGTACTGAGACTAAAATCCTGTTACGGTTACTCTAAAATTGAATTGTTTTGATTGACCAAAGTCTTAAAGGCATCTCAAATGTTCATGACCATGTGATTTGTCGCTGGAAAACACGTTAGTCTGACTCTAAAATACTAAGAGTTAGCAATGTAATACACTACTTAATATTCATAACCAGTACCACGACAAAGAAATGCATTGTGGTTCTCTTCTAACTTGAATCCATCGAAAAAATCAGTTATCAATTGACAATACTTGACAAAATCGAAAGTTTAGACAAGTTTTCTTTACTTAAAGTTTATTCGCCTTTATTACAACATACTTAAGATGACTCTAGCTAGAGTCAAAACGTTTAATAAACTGATTTGTCATTATGTAACCGGACTGTCTTAGCTTTCGTACTGGATTGTCAATTTTCATGATGCATCGATATTGTCAAGTATTGTCAATTGATCAATTCTTATATATAAACTAAAGTGACTAGAAAGACAGAAATATGTTTGGTGACATTATCATTAGATTCTGTATAAACGGAAAACAGCTTTGCGAAAAATAACTTTCGAATGACATTAAGGTGAAAATAATACAAGGTAAATTTGAGCAAGATGATATAACTTTCTTACCTAACATAAAAATCTTTTTCGAGTAATTCACAACAAAGGCATGTAAACATATGTTTTTATCAAACAGAAAGCCGTTCACAGAACAAAGTGAACATTCATGGGTAGGATTCTGACTGTAAACGTCTTTATTAAAACGATAGTCATGGAGCTCAATGTATATCTTTACGAAATAACTTAAATTGGGTATTCAGATAATCGCATGAAGGAAGTATCGTTTGATAAAACCGTACCGCAATCCACAAGGCTGGTGCATATGGTGCTTCCGTAGTGGATGTTGTTCCCTTTGAAGGCGTTGTTGTTTTATCTGCCCATGTTGCTTTGAAAAATATCGAGTTTATAAGTAATATTTAGCATAAATGCATGTCATGAATATTTTAGCATATTTAGCATAAATGAATTCATAAAAGATAGCAAATCGAAACTGCATACCACTTTTTACTAAATCGAAATTCTATATATCAATATCTGGCATAAATTTTATTCAAAACAAAGAAGAATGGTAGCAGATATCTCCTTTTTATCATTTTCCCGTAGCATTCATTTTACAGCTCTAGCAAAGTCACCTGTGTCTCTCTGTATATTCAGTCATAAAATTAAATTTTTCCGTTGTGAGTAGCTTATGATCTAAAGAACCTCAGACTTAGCTATCCAGAACTTCTTTAAAACATAATTGTTGAAAATCTCTAACAAGCCCGATTATTTTCTACATTTTTACACAAAGTACTTGGGCAAAATTTCTTAAATGAAACTAAAACAAACCAAGCTTTACAAAACATCCATCAAGGTATTGCAACTTGCAATTACAATTGGTTTCAGAGGACTTTTATCTAAGCTCTTTTCCAGAATATTTGTCCCCGTTTCTAAACTGTTATCGTATTGAAGCATATAAAGGACATTAGACCGAGACACCTTTTCATGTAAGCATGATTTGATAACGTTTGATTAATAACTTTTATCGCTTGGGCTGAGTATACAACTAAGTTTGATGTACATCTATGCAATCTCCAATTAAGACCATCAAGTATAAAACAGTAAGACTGTTTGGCTTTATCAGCCACCGATTAAAATCGAACGTGCAAGTATGAATGGAAAGTGAAGCTATATCTCCGTAGTTAACATGAAAACTGTTTTATTTCTATACTCGGAAACAAGCGACGTGGCTACTGCGAAGGTGCCCAGCGCTTCTTACTAAATAGCTCTCAAAAACATAGCATATATTTTGTTGCGAAATTGCGGATGTAAATCTGTGTTAGTATAAATAAAACATACTTTGGGTTGACTCTTCATAATCTTCAGCAGTAGTTGCAACTGACTTTGAAGTTGTTGTTGCCTCAGTGGTCGTTAGTGTTGTTGTTGTTGGTGCTTTCGTAGTCGTCGGCCTCCAGTTGCAAGTAAACCCATTACCGTCGTAGCCTTCTTCGCATCTACAGCGATATGAACCAATCGTATTCGTGCAAATAGCATTCACGTGACAGACATCAGGTTCTGTGTCTAGGTTATCCGCGTCACCACTGCCTTCCTGCATTTCACTGGCGGTTTGGTTGCATTCATTGATATCTACAGGGAAAAGAGAATAAATAGATTCATGGCTACACTAAGATCGGAAGGGTATGGATCATCATTTAATATACAAAATTTCGATCAGACTGATCCTGAAGATGTAAGTTTGGTACAAAACTGATAATTGGGCAAATGATAAGAGCATTATCAAGATCATCTTCATGCTTATCCGTCTGTTCCACAATGCTGGATCCCGTTTAGACATAGCTGATAGATTCACCATATTCTAGAACAGTCAAAATTTTGTCCAACTTGTTTCGATGTCTCAAAAATGTCAACGAAATACTCTGCTCTTTCGATGTTGTGTAGAAGTTGTGAGACTTAGGGCGATACTTTAGGACACTTAACTTAGAACTGCTAGAATCTTGGAACTATGGGACTGTTGAAATCTAATTAAATTTAGCATCATCAGGAGCATGTACTTTTGAAACACTTCTGAAAGTTGACAAAAAGATACTGAAAGTTCTATTCAGGAAAAATTCTTTCATAAACTACTTTGCAAAGAGTCTGACATAATGTTGAAAATAACACGTTTTTCCAAATACATACCGATGCATCTTGGGAAAGGGTAGCTCCAGTTTCCAAATCTGGTACATTGGAGCTTTGGTGCACCAGCCAACTGGAAACCCCGCTGGCACTTGACAGTCACATATTGGTTCTCGATGAAAAATGCCCTTTTCGGAGTAACATGAGAATATCTTGTGTGGATGAAGTTGCATGTGGCTGAAGAAATAAAATCAAAACAAGCATTAGTCTTATTGATGAGTAGGTATAAAGCTGTCCCTTTTTAGAACATAAGGAAGAGATGATACACTATGTTTTAAAGACTTTTGGGCTCTGATAATAACTAGGAATACAACCTTGGCAGAAGAGAAATGCATGTAACAAGTTAAACAAGTATATCGTTAAAAACCATAAGGATAGCATACGTAAGGATAGCATATATAAAATGAATATAAACGTAGATCAACAGGGGGTCTAAAAAAACTCTATAATGTAATGATTATATTATCTTTTGCCGACTTTTGCCTTTTGAATTTATTTAGCACAAAATTACAAAAAACAAGGGCAAAAAGGAATTCCGAAAAATGATAAAATGCCAACTTTACTTGGAAAACATGAGATATAAAATATTAGTTATCTGAATTAATGAAACTACTTGTACAATAACAGATAACATAATTCCCATTTCTTGGAACATTTGCGAAAATTTTTCTTAACGTTGCATTGAAAGCACAGAGATATGGAAATTAACGACTCGGTGGATGCAAAAAGTTGAGGAAAATTACTCCTTTCAGATGTTTGATTTAAAAAACGCGACATTACAGGACTCTTTGTTATGTTTTATTAGATTGCTGTTGTGATCAAATAAAATGGCGCGATTTTCTTGTTTATCTGCAATCAAATATTAAAATACACAAAATATGTCAATAAGTATATGGTTACCTGTTACTACGAGCTCAAAACTACCAGTTGCCTCTCCGACAAGGTTCTTCGCAGAGCAAATATACAAACCAGCATCGTCTTTGGTGACGCTGTCCAAACTTATGTTACCATCAACAAGGCCAATATTTCTTTGGCTGCCGTTGTTAACGTCAAGCACCCTGTACCAAGCAACTTGAGGGTATGGTTCCCCGGTTGCATAACACGTGACACGCGTAGAATCGCCCACGTAGAGGTTCTTTTTTGTTGATGAAAGGGTTATTCGTGGAGGCACTAGAAATTGTAAGGTAAGGTAAGGTAAGGTAAGGTAAGGTAAGGTAAGGTAAGGTAAGGTAAGGTAAGGTAAGGTAAGGTAAGGTAAGGTAAGGTAAGGTAAGGTAAGGTAAGGTAAGGTAAGGTAAGGCTAAAAATTTGCCAACACAACACAGTCTTGCAAGATTAAATTTTGTGTAGGTATATTACGAATCAACACACTATGGGCGCGAGGGAAACTCAGAAGGCCGTTGTTGATGTAAGTAAGAATAAACTGCAGCCATTATGGCTGACGGGCTTTAGGGTAGGTAATTACTCTAGCTTTTGGAGATCGCATTCAAGAACCAAAACATGCTCTTGTAATCTTATCGTGTAGCTTATAAACATGAAAAGATTATGAAAAGATTAGGAAACAAACAAGAAGACACAAACAACAAAAGCAAGGAGAGAATTCACTGTGAATTAAAGCGATAAATTATCTAGCAATCAGTCAGCTTTTTGAACTACAAAATTCCCTTAAAAGCAGGCCTATAATGGGGTTTGAAATGCATTATTGTCACTGAATGTCAGAACAGCTTCTTTAACAAAAACAGTGAAATGGCAAAAACATTAAGATCAGAAGACGCAAAGGACGACCCATTTAGACCGTTCTGAATAATGACTTTACAAAATTCTGGATAATGACTTCTACTCACCATACACTGTCAAATAAGCAGTTGCATTGTTATTTTTACCAGGGCTTTTGGCAATACAGATGTAATCGCCTCTGTCAGCGAAATGGACATTCACTATAATTAGTGTTCCGTTAGGCAATAGTTTGAATCTCCTCTGATCTAAGCTGTCAATGCGGACTAAGGCACGATTGTCGTGTCGGACAACTTTCCACAGAATTCTTGGAGTCGGTATGCCCTCTACAAAACAATCCAGCTTGACTGTGCGACCAACGATTGTTGCCTGACTGGTAGGTCGTTTGCGGAAAGTCTGTATGGCTGCAATTGAAATTGTCAAAGTATCACATGGCTAGCCTTATGAAAACTTGAATTGTGTTATCTTAACCTCCATTAGTGTACTTAAACCAACACAAGAAAGTATTGAATGAAAGAATCCCAAGCTTTTTGTGTTGATCTTAAAAACTTGATACCAAAAAAAAGTCAGGACAAAGATGACAAGTGGCTCCGTAATTACCTTTGACTGTCAATTCAACAAGCCTTGTTTCTGATCCTTCAGAATTCATAACATTGCAAAAATAGTTGCCCCTGCGATCCCATGTTACATTTTTGATCTGCAGTGTCCCATTCTGGAAGACCTGAAAACCATCTCCATCGAGTTCCGTACCCCCGTTCATCAAAGGTTTGTCTCTGCTCCAAGCAAAAATTGACGGAGGGTCACTAACAAACGAGCAATGAAACCACTGTGTGCTCCACATATCTACAGTTCTTGCTTCGTTCTTTTCAATGAAACGTGGCTTTAAAGGAACAACTCCTGTAAAATAGAATTTTCAATACAAAACTTTAGCATATAAATAAGCACGGCAACACTATGTTAACATTCAATTATCACTGCACATTGGGATCGAAAAACCAACGTATCAAAATTACCTCTCACATACTTCGAAATGAAAGCATATAAATCAATCAACATAAATAAATCTTGATTTTTCGCAGCTCTAGATCGCTCAACTTCTGGAGCCTTTTCTCCCTGTCTATCTTGATCTTGATGGGTACGAAATACAAAAGGTCAGCCAATATTTTCGAGACTCAGATTTTTCTAGCTATTTTAAGATGAAAATCTGCAGTCTATTAAAGTTAAGAAAAGTCGTTATTTATTTAAAAAAAATTTTCCTGGTACAATTTACTTACATTGATCGTTTTTAAAGATAAAAACCTGTTTACAATTAACGATAAAAACTATAAACTATAAAAACCTGTTTTCAATAACTTAAGAAGCTACAAAATAATAAAATAGAGAAGCTACTAAATTTGATACGAAGAAAATGAAGATAAAGATGCAGATCAACTTTCCTTGAATGTTCTCAATTTGAAGCTTAAAATTTCGTTTTGAATGACTGAATCGTAGGGACTTTCATTTCCTAGTCAAGTCTATTTCATGCGGCGGCTCCTCGAAATGCAAATGATCTTTGGTCATAGCTGTTCTCATTTTTGGATAGCAAAATTGCATTTTGAATTGAATTTGGTATTAGCAAAAAAAATTTTAGAAAATATTACCTATTTTTTCAGGTGAAAGATCATTTAAGGATTTTTATACCATTGTACGTAATTCTTGATTAATCAGTTTATAATTGTCGGCCAACCAAACCACTGCAATAGAGGAGCAGCTGGTGTGTCGAAAAGGCTACTGCTGGCAATTCGGGCAGCTCTGTTAAAAGATTAAGTAGAAAAATAACATCAAGAAAAAATCAAATTACGTCAACTTATTCTACGTACCTTCTTTTGTCAAAGTTAAGAGTATCTGCGAAATATCTCCGCATTTTCTTAGAACAATTTTGATATGATGCTTTGTCTTCTCTCTTTTGAATCTAATGCATTTCCCACTACTCTTGTGCTTTATAATTAGGTTACTACTTTGGAATTCACCGCGAGATATTTTTTGATACTCCAGATTATTTGACTGGCAGTTTGTAGTTAATATGGCGGTTGACATCTCGTCCATATCAAGACACAGTCCGGATACGGTGTGGACCAGTGCATTTGAGCCATCCAGCTTGAACATGAAGTCGCTGCCGTGACATTTCGAGTCAAAGACAAGATTGGTACCATTCGTGATATTATGGGCAGTATCCTCCGGCAAAATGCATGGTTTTCCATCACCAAGCTTCACGATATGTGACGATACGTCTGGAAACACAAAGACAAGAGTTTACTGCTTGGGCCAAAATGTACATTGACTCATCTAAAGAATTAAGTATACTAGGCCATTGAAACTGTTTTTCTTAAAATTTTGGGTTTTTGGAAATCATCTGCTTAGGGAATGATTTAAAAAGGAAAATTAATGAAAAACTAGCCAAAGAATAATTTTGGTTTCTAGCAGCCTATAGATAACAATATTGCTTTTTTAAAAGTCCAACATGTTAGCAGAAGATTATATGTAAAAATAACAAATCAAAGATATATTTCACCATTTCTACAGCCATAGATCTCAAAACGCAGACATATTCTGTGTTCCAATTGATCACCGCTATACCACGTTAAGGGCCTAATCCTTAAGGCTCGTGCTCTTATTCTCGGCTCAAACCAATGTGTGACAACAGCGCTTGAATCGGTGTTTCCTTGAAAAACCTGGATACGAAAGACGATAAAAAATAGAACACAGCTATATATGAGACAGAAGTACATAGAACTTCCAGCAACTGATTTGATGACAGGTTTTAAAGAATCGTCGCCGTTACATCAGATCAACGTTAGGTCCTATTATGCTAACAGGGCTCACCTTCAGCAACCAAGTCTTCAAAGTTTCACTACAACCGATGCAGTTAAATGTGTCAATAAAGGCGAAAAATGAGGCAAGGCTATCGAGTTACATTTTTTTTGTTACACTGTTTTGAACAAGAAACTCAATAACTCTTAGGCTCTTTTTTCAGCTATAAAATATTAAACAAAAAGGGAATATAAAACACTATGGACAACGATATCATTGGAGTTTATAGACAAGACTGGCAGCCTTAATACCAAGGACTCGTAGAACTCATAAACGAACCTTTACTTTCCCAAACAACATGTATTCTTTCCAAATTCCATCTTCTGCTTTGTATTCAATCTTATATGACGTCACCCAGTCATTATACGACTCATATCCTTGAGTGGATGCACCACTAACAGTGTACATCTCCCCCAAGTCAACTTGTATGAATTGGTCCTGGTCCAAAGTAGAGGCACACCAGCCGCCACGGTCACTACTGAACAATCTACCATGGCTTGGCAAAAAGTTTCGGTCGAGAAATGAAGATGCTGTTAGATTGGCAGCAGGGATGCGGCCATCTTGAATTCCAAGTGGTCTAGAGCAAGCTACAACATGACAAAAAATTTCGTTTTTAAGCAATAACATTTGCCTCAACATCATGTTATGCTGGTATTTGTTTGAAAAATGATTGATACTAATCTTGACTTCATTTTGTCAATTCAACAATAATATACTTACATTCAGACATATACCCGAAACGCCCATGGTAGCAAAAACGATACCAGACAAAAAAGGGGTTCAGGGACAATTTTTGAAATTTTTTATCAAATATATACATAAGCATTTTATTAAACTAACTGTTATGAAAAACTTTTTTTTGATGACTTCTTCACTCTATGGGCATCAAAAGGTCAAATAAACTTAAAATTACGAGCCTTAAAGCTTCATGGGCTCCACATACTTCCAAGAAACAAATTTCAATTTTCGAGAGAGCTACATCTCAACAAATACCCCGCCATGCACTCAACAACTGTGAGGAAATGATTAGCAAAAGGCAATCCTTATAGGAGGCATTCTGAGTGATAGCATAATTTTCAAACCAAATTCCAAACAATCTTTGTATCACTGTCATGGCAAAAATCTGCCTTTTTGTTATGGTTCTTCACACTCTATTGTTTACTTGATCATGGTCGTTTGCTATTGTGACATTATTGACCTTAGTGCTGAGTAGAACCTTGATCATGGAAGAAGATACAATTCTTATGTTTTATCGTTGTCTAATGCTACACCAATATCACAGACGTTGCCTCTCAACTAAAATAAAAAAATCATGCATCTTGAATATCAGATTCGAACCAAACGCAATATTGTCGCTCACCTTCGTATGGCTCAAGCTGAGTGTCCATTGGTTGAAGTGAGAGAGAACTGACCAATGAGCACCCTCCACAGGCTGAGGTACCCTTGATTTCAACAACAGCACCATTGAACTTTCGCGTTACTTTGCACTGAGATTTATTGTGGGACCATTGCCACGAGACCGAATCCTGAAAAATTCAAAGCATTAAATACTTGACTGAAAAAAGAGATTTATTGACAGGTTAAAATCTACATTGATACAGAACCTCTATCACTTTAAAACAGCTGGACAGCTTTTACAGACAGTTTGAACGAGAAAAATGATTTGCAAAAAGCAAACCTAGTCTCGATTTCATTTTTTTTATTTTACTTTATTTTATTTTATTAATCTTATTCTATTTTACTGTATTTTATTCATCTTATTTCTTTACCTTCTCTTAATTATTCTTTTTTATATATTATTTTATTTATCTTATTTTACGTGCTACATTAGTTGCCTGATTCTCAAATTTGTTCGTGTCTTTTAATTTTGAGTTGTACCAAAGGCCGTTGAAGCCCTTCAAAGAAAAGTCGCCTTATTTCCAAACCTTGAAAATCACATCAAGAAAGTGCAAGCACCATGGACTATGCCTCACAAAAACAACTCAAATATGATCTCATGAAACGCCATCACAATTCTTTGGCTGACAGTAAGCAGGTAAAGAAAACTCGAAACAAAAGGTACTTCGGGCGCGAGTATGGCAAACAAGAAATACCAATTGCTTGCTCCTGAAATTATACAATCTCCGATTAGGAAGAGACGAACAGATATGGCTTGAATCTACAGAGTTATGCTCTGTCCTGGCACGAGCATGCGCAGTAGACATTTTATGTCCCTGCGCAACCCTCTAGACAACAAGGGCGAAAGTTGGCTATGAACATCTTCACCCCATGACCTTGCGTAACATTCTTCACAAAAAGTCTGACGTCAGAACGAATTCTGTATTTGCGGACGCAGGATGCCCTTGGCAGGGTAGTTGGCCATGGGCAAATTGTTGTGGTCAGTGGGGATATGACAAAGACAATTTTTGTTTGGGTTCCTTGGCCAAGATTTCCGGGGCTTACAAGAAAGACTAAAGAGATTTGCTAAGTTATCAGTACTTATCAAAGGGTGGGTTATCATTTTCATTCACAAGAAAAAAGGATAATTGCTTGAATAAGATTATAAAAATAGACGTATTTACTAAGTAACAGTGGAAATTAATCATTCTTTACAAACCTAAAAAATTCACACCATCAAATCGTTCTTTTATGATTACAATTTATCAAAAATCAAGCCAAAAAGCCTTAGGCATAAATTTTGTCTCAACTCTCCTGTCTCGGTACAGAATGACAATCTCCCAATCTCCAAGTAGAGAATCTAATTCTCCCGTGCTACCACACTACAACATGTTGTAGATACTAAACACAGAGCAGAGATTCTGTATACTAAAGTAGAAACCACCATCAGAATCGAGCAAAAACGAGACAACCAGGAAGGAGACCGTATAAACAACCCCAATGTGCTAAATACTTTTCCAAAATTAACAGGATTGGTGGGAGACTTAATCAAGTTACTATTGAAATCAGATTAAGTCTGGAAAGAATCACGTCAGACATTCAATTAGATATTGCACCGAGTTATGATAAACCATATGGACTAGATTTTAGGATGTTTTCAACTCAAGTCTTATCTCTGACTCCAAATGACCCGGTATATACGGAAAGATTTAACATTTAAGAGTGTTCTCAAAGACGAAAGTATAGGTTAAAGGTTATTAAAACTTTACTTCGCTTCTCGCCTTAAACAACCAAAAAAGATAGAAAATGAAAAACCAATCAACATAAACCAAAGCTCTTTTAATGATACTAATTTGGCGGCTCAAGGACTATACTCAAATCAGGATATGAACCCTTCAAGCCTCATTTAGTATGTATCAGTTAAGGTAGGTTGGAAGATAAGATATGAAGATTACTGTGACTTTACACAGACTGCAACAGATTTCCTACAAATAATAATAGCCCTTGAGGTATTGGCAGCAGGAATTGCCTTTTGGGTATGACTCTTGACGCCAATCACTAGCCAAGCCAAACATCACTAAATATGCCAATCACTAGACACTTCTATCACTAAACACAGCTATCACTAAACATGTCCATCACTAAACATGCCTATCACTACACAAACCTATCACCAAACACGTCCACATATCACTAGACACGACCATCACTAAACACAGCTATCACTAAACATGTTCATCACTAAACATGCCTATCACTACACAAACCTATCACTAATCACGTCCACATATCACTAGACACGTCCATCACTAAACACAGCTATCACTAAACATGTTCATCACTAAACATGCCTATCACTACACAAACCTATCACCAAACACGTCCACATATCACTAGACACGCCCATTACTAAACACAACTATCACTAAACATGTTCATCACTAAACATGCTGGAATTTGCATTGAAACTGCAGGTATATACCATCTGAACCACTAGCAATCCTGGATTGTCAAAACATGTCTTCACATCCCAGGACAACAATCCTTTAACTAAAACAAGCATCTGACGGTTGTGAGCACTAGCAACCATTTCTGCTATCAATAACTAAAAGTCTTTAGGTTTTGCTCAGAAAATAAAACCTGTTAATGATAAATCACTTGTTTAAAGACTCTCACACCGTGTTTATCTCAGAAGAAGTAAAGCAGCTCTCTCTCTCTCGCCAATAGACAATGCAATTAGAAAAAGTTAAAGGCACCTTTGAAAATTTTCAGTTGAGGTAAACCAGCATTCAACTCAGTTCGAGACAGAATCCAAGGATATCTTTAATTTCATTCGGATTACTATGCAAGGTCTTTCGATCGCCAGGTTTGAGCACAAGACTCAGACACAAGAGTATTAAATTAAGTGGGCAGATGAATGCTTTTTGACAGGGATGAAATATGTTTTCACAAAACCAAGACTTGTGCGATTAAACCGTAGACACAATATGCCATATTTTCATGACGAGACTTAGAAAGTGACGTTTAAGAGAGTGGACTTACTGTCAGCAGTCCGGCTGGAAATCATTTTATGAGAAAAAATTTAGAAGAAATCTAATACATAAAGAAAATGTCTAAATAATCTTTGACGAAAACTGGAAAGGTTTCGATTTACTGAAAAATCATCTTGTTTAAGAAATCGTACAAAACTCTGCCTACACAGTATCGAGCACTATAGAACAGACTGATTTACAGAAAACTTCATTACTGGACTAAATAGATTTTCCATAAAAAATTAACTGATACCAAGAAAACACACTTTTCAGCAATAAAAGAGAGCTGGGGTTAAACTGCAAAACCACAGAAGCACAGCAAAACTATAAAAGAGTGTCGGGGGATATAAGACTTTAGACGCTAACCCTGTGACATAAACCCCCTTTCCCAAGGACATAGTTTTAAACATTTTCGTCCTTGAAATTAAAGCTTACGCCAATCTTTTGTTGATAACTGAGAACAACGCTATCCTATTAAGTAGATCAGCTTGTAAAAGATAAAGCTAAACAACAGAACGCAAGCTGTAAAAGGCACGAGAAGGAATTAGTGTTAATAGAACGCGTTGCTGTATTCAATTTGCGATTAGAAACAACGCTGGAGTTGGAATGATAAGGTGGACAAAACCTGACCTTGTGGGATGCAAGATGAGTTGCTGCGCTTGATCGATCAGAAGATAAAGGGTAAAAAGAAATTATATGAGGAGAGAAATGAAAAAGTAGTGGAAGATATGCATAATTCATGTGCAGGGAAATTGTTTAAGCCGACTTAATGGTGCAGTTGTTGTGACCAAACTTCGCCGACGGCAAGAAAAAACAGACGAGAATCTCATAAGAGATTTTGATCGACCAAAGACGTCATTGGAGTGGATGAAAGGACGTTTCGAAGAAATCTGGGAAGATATTGCCTCAAAGCAGGCTCTCTCCTCGAAACTGAACCTTATTTGCAGCAAGCCTTCTCTTCTTTTAAAACGAAGAAATATTAATTTATATCAAAAATAAAGCATACACATGTTCCAATAAACCCATGCACCGAGCCTCAGGAGAATTGATTGATAAAAAGAAAGCATAATGTTCTCTAAAGATCACTTTATGAGAGTTTGGAGAAGTGCCCTTTCAAGTCAAGTCACATATGTTATACTTTGAAATTAGAGGGTTGCAAAGCATTAGAACAGAACATACAATTGAAAAACTTACTAGAGCACAAAAGAGTCAAAATTTACAACACTTAAGATCACTTCAACACAACTAAATACTCGATCGTCGTATATAATCATTTCCTTTATGGAAATCAATAGCTGTTTAATTTAAAAGAAAGAGGATCCGACACGGCTGGTGCATTAAAAAGAGGATTACACTGGCCGAATGGACCTAATCATTGGAGATTAGGTAATCATGGGTCTCAACAATAGGATCAAAGAGGTATAAGTTGCCCTAAAAATTTGCCGAAAAGGCGAAGGCTTGGGAATAAAATATCAGCTGAACAGCAGGCTATCTAGAAGTTTCTTATCTCGGCACTTTCATTTGATAAATATGAATGCTGATCAGTTTAAAGATGCAGAGAATAAGGCTTTTCAAGCCATTTTTTCATTGCACTCTTTCTTCAAAGATTCCGGCAGGAAACAGGCCTGTTTATTCTAGCAAGGCACAAAATCAGCAATATGATAGAAAGGTAACTTTCAGGTAAAATCAAGAGGTTTAGGCGACTGAAACTTTTGATTGATTCGAATATTTCAAAGCAATGCTTAGCCTAAAGATTGTTCACAGATTTCTTTAAAAAAACATCAAACTAGCAAAATTCTACCATATTGTCGTCAGCAAAAGTTGCAGTTTACTGAAAAGACAGACCGAAGCAACAGACATTCAAGAAACGAGGCCTTTTAGGCCAGTTTAAAAATGTGTCTATTTAAACAAATTTTAAACAAGTGGAGAGGTGTCAAAGTTCCGCTGAAGTTAACCAAACCCATGAACGTCACAAGACCAAAAGTAATACGATTAACACGAAAATAGATTTGGTTAAAGTTAAAATATCAGAATTTTCTGAATTCAGTAACTAATGAAACCTTTGAAACATGGCGATATAGAAAATATCGACCTTACTAGATCATCGTTGGGAAACAGAGCTGAAAAGAGACAAGAACAGTGAAAATTACCTTGAGCTTGAATGGAGTGCCTCTAAGATCAATACTTGCATCTGCACCAATGCATTTACTACTGTTTGCCACGCCACAGATTTTCCCACTGCCAAACTGAGTATGCTGTATACCAGAGGAAAATGTCAGATCGTTTGGGATGATGGTGAGAGTTTGTAAAGCCAGTCTCACTTTACTGAACGCAATGAGCCTTGGTATAGCTTGAGCAGAAACTAGAAACAATAAAACATACGCGTGAAAATATTTCTGCAGTGAAAAAAATGATCATCAGTGAGGAAAGGATAGAGCAATTAAATCACCAATGCACGATGGAAAACACCAGCACATATTTAAAGGGAAATGGCTTCCAATATACAAAAGCGTGTGCCATTCATCGATATGCATATGCAGAAAAAACTCCAGGTGTCCTTTTTGAAGAGGTAACATTTTCTGTGACTTGAGAAATCGAAGGCTCAAGGCTGCATCATGGATACAACTCTATTAGTCAGTAAGGCGTAAGGTGATTTCAAACAACCTTACAACACTGACTGACATCCATCTTAATAGGTAAATATTAGCACAACAAAGAACTCTCTACATCTAGCGGCTCTGAAGGCCTCTTTTTGAAAAAATGGGTTCCATTTTTTCTAGCAGGGAAAATACTTCAATTTGCCAACAGAAAGGATATAATCTTTGAAACGAAAATGTACCAGTGAAATTAAATTAACGGACGTTTTACCCTGGGGATAGTATTATTGAATCTCGTTTCCTTCAAATATATAACTAAAAAACAAAAAACATTTCAAGATTTTTGTGAATGTTTAATGTTGTGGCAACACTTGTTATGGTGAATGGGTTTGTAAGAATGTAGGGTGGAGTTGAGAATTAGCGAAAAAAGTGAGGACGTCCTTTGCGGAACACACATTTTCAAGCAAATCAAGACAAATCAAGGGATTAAGCTTGATCGCGTTAAACGAAAATTGTGCTGCAACGTTTTAATATTGGAGTACTATAAGTCACAATAGTCAACCAGTTAGACATAAAATAGTAAACAAAGCATAGGAATCCAAATCTGTTTTTTATTATAAATACGCCTTGTTTTCGATTAAAAAAAGTAATTATATTGTTACTATAGAAAGCATTTAGCTAAAAGGCAATTATCATTATTGAAAATAGTAACTTTTAAGTACGAAAACGAGAAATTTTTGCGATCAAATATCTGATCAGCTGCCGACCTTACTGCCAGACTCCGTAATTTTTTTGCCGAATAGGTGTTTGTCAACGAGAGGAAGCATCAATATGGAATATCTTCTAACTACTCCGTTCTTCTAAGAAAATTGTTGACTAATCGGTCGTCTGTGCTTCTAGTACAACTGTAATTCTGGCCAAGCGCGAGTTAGCATTTACTTGGGAGCCATCTTAAAAGAAATCATTGCATCACAGCCAGGGGTGGCGGGCCAATCGCAAGACGTGCTAAAATTGTTCTCCGAAAAATTGCCGAGAGGTTGCCGACCTACGTTGCATTTGGTACAACGTAGTTTCGAGCTTGTTCTAGGGCTCCTGCTTTGAGCAAAATTAATTAAAAATATGCAAAACCGACCTCTAACTAATAATATTGCGTATTATGGTGTGTACGACTTAGTTCAAAAGTCCTTTTTTACTCTATATGAAATTGTATACAGATATTTCTCAATCTGAAATGACGTGACATTTCTACCTTTTCTACCTGCTCGATAAAAAATCATTCATATATCAATTTACAGACCTCATGCAACAAAATAGCTTTTGAAATTCGTCTCTCTCCATAATAACATTCAAACAGTGGGTGCTTGCAATTATAAAATTAACGATTCTAGTAAGAGCAACCAGCTATATAAAAAAGTAACTTCAGAAAAGTCCAGAAAAATATCCACCTTTCCTTCAAACAATAAACTTTAGCCCTGAAAACCTTCCTCGGGAAAACAATGACAAAAAAGCGGCGTTTAGGTGCGGCTCTTTCTTTTGTTTTCAATATCTTTCCTAAGGCCACTGGCCGTATGACCGCCATGTTTTGTTAGGCCTTGGTTCAACGCCAAGTTATTCATTACCGGAATCTCCAAAATAATTGATGCACGAAAACAGCCTTGACAGTAAGCCAATCATTGTAATTCGATTTATTCCCACATAATATAGAACTTTCATGCTTTAAGAAAGAAAAACGAGGTTCTGCAAAAAGGATTAAACTGAGAATCATCAAAGACCAGGATAAAGAGCGATTTGCAGGAAAACACGGGATAAGAAGAAAAGTAATTGGAAATTGTAATTGATTGAGGACCGAAGCCTGAGGCTACAAGAAAGATACTGTTTACAAAAAAGACATTTACCATGTGGAAAGGCCATATAGGAAGCGCAATAAGGCAATTTGATCGCACGGTGTTGAGAAAAGCAAAAGGGCGATGTCTGGGTGTGGCTTAATTCTCTTCAATTTTGAAATACAGCTTTCGTTAATAAAGAGCTATTAATAACTCGATATGAAAAAAAAATATTACGATTGCACTCAAATCTGAGTCTGAAGCTCTAACTGTACCTGTAAAACATCAATTTATATGGTTTGTTTCTTCAACAGCACGGAAAGGGCCGCAATGGTTCTGTATGGCAGAGTAACAGCCTGTATATAAAATTGTCATTCTTATTCTCCAATTCACTTATTACTGCATCGGGTATTCAAAAAATGTTAAATGCAAGGGCTTGCTTATGGTGCCCATCCATGTTTGCTTATGGAGCGAATCAATATTTGTTTATTGAGCAAATTCACTTGCTTTTTGGCACTTGGCAGCAACAATAATTGCAAGGATTTTCTTCCCTCATTTGCCTAAAATATGTTAGAATATAATAAGTCAGCTAGCCACTCTCTCCACTTTTGGTTGACGTCATAAATACATTGTCTCATGTCACCCAATTAACGTTATTCTCATGCTACTATTCGTTGACCATCAAACAATACTGACAAATCTAAAGCACTGGCAAAACGACTCAACATTTCACTAAACATTTCACTCAACTTTTGTTTAGTCAAGAGTTTAGTGAAAAGTTTAGTCGTTTTGCCACCCTGTTTAGTGTTGTTTAGTCGTGTTGAGTGTTGTTGAGCAAAGTTTGATCCTGGTCAAAAATGTTTAGCGTTGTTTAGCATTGTTTAGCAAATGTTTAGTCGCTTTGCCACCAATTAAACATTTGTTGTGATCGCGCAGGCGCACTAGTTATGGAAATCCAAAGGTTTTCGTCTGTTTTCGTTGGTTTTCCTGTCTCTACGTGACCCAAAAAGCCTTTATGAGACATCTGCATATCTCGTTGTAGGCTACTGTGTCTTTTTCAACAGTCAACTTTTTTGTTAATGTGCTAAAAAGTCTTTTCTTTCCTCGTCGCTTCATCCAAATCTTATTTTCATCCACTGCTTGTGCATGCAACAAAATAAACCAAAAGCAAATCCTATGCAAGATCCTCTACAACCCAACAGCGTCATAGACAGCTCGAAGTTCAAAAAGTTGAGTGAAGTTTAGTGAAAAGTTTAGTCACGTTTTGCCACCCTCGCTAAACTTCGCTCAACTTCACTTAAGAAAAGTTGAGTGAAATGTTTAGTGAAATGTTTAGTCGTTTTGCCAGGGCTTAAGAACTTTTGGTCTTCCAGACTTGGTGATATGGCTATATCACAAACTCCAATTAGATCCTCATTTTTACGTTCAGTGAAAGAGTTGAATTAAGACGAGGGCTTAATATGACAAACAGGGCATGAAATTGGTTTTCTCGGGTTAAATACTTGGCTCTTGAAGATTTGTACAACAGACATGCTTACCATTCTTCGAAAGACATCCATCAGTTTTCGTTTTCACATAATTAGCTTGCTTGCCACTTGGAAGACTCAAATACTCTGTTGGTGTTTCTGAGGCCATCTTGTAACAATAAATAAGCAATTTGATGTTACGTCTGCCAGCCCCAGCAATATGGAACGTGTAGTGGCCATCCTCACTTTGATTGTTCAGCCTCCTTTTACTTGCACAGTCAACTAAATATAAAACGCAGATACGTTGCAGTTAATCAGGGCGACCAACCTTGCTTAATGCAACTCTAAATTGACTGATAATATTTGGGTGATCATGTTCATAAGAAACAGGTCATAGGAGAGAGTGAATGGGAATCATTTGAAAACTAAGAAATACTTATAGATCGAAGCAAAAATTAAAGAAACAATACGAAAAACGAAGTGGATTTAGCATTTACGTGGTTTTCTTGGATGCTTCACAAAGTGCCCGAATCAATAGGGACCCCCCGTCACAGAGCTCTGAGCTTTTTCTCATTGAGAATCAAAATAAACTATACCAATAACAAATCCTTCGGTAGCAAGAAAATCTGTCCAACATGACTCAGCCTTACCGATAACATCTTTTTCCGTTAATCGCCGAATATCGCGTCCTCTCAGTGACTGTGGAGTGAAGCAGAACCCATTAAAACTCTCCAGTGTTTTCGTGAAGTTCACCAGCCACCAAACACGCCAATCACAATGGATACGATTTCTGCCTAAGTGCCTTGATAAGATAGAGAATAAATTGTTAAACAATCTGGGTTGCGGGATTCTTCAAAGATATTGATTTTACAAGATCTAGAGTTAAGAATATCTTAGAGATCGAAAATTTAGACACTGGTGAGTGAATCGTAAAACACAAGAAAACCTTGGGGGCGTCAGAGTTCAGGTAAGAGTGCATGGGGTTAATACTGGCAAGTTAAGAAGAATTGCTTTAAATTTGCTACATTATTTCCTCTTTCTGATAAATTCTGGTTTCCTTTCTCAAAAAAATAACACTAGTTTATTTTCCCACTGTAACTCTTGGATAATCTAATGTCAGAAGAAGCTGACAAGAGGCAGGGATTTACTCTCTTTCCCGCATACGATGCTGCTTGATTTATCATATATATAGCAAGACAGAAAACACAAAACCAGTGAATTACTTACAGTGTTTTCAACTTGCTATTCTTGTCAAAGATTCCTCGCGGAAGGCTTGTGATGTCATTGGCGCTAAGGTCCCTATGCAAAATGACAAAAAGGAATGATAAAAGAATGATAAGAAAACGGTTAACACTTTAATAGTTAAGCCATCCGCATGTACTTGAATGCTTTAGCAATGGGTTAGGAGAGACATGGAGTCCGCATCCTAGGTAGGTAAACAAGGAGCATACATGTCACTAAGGCAGGGGCGTAACTTGGCCAATAGTTTTGGGAGGGTGAAAAGGGTTTCTGCCCTGCAAAAATGAGTGGTGCCCTGCAGACCTCGTAGCAACGGTTTGTCTATAGGTTACTAGTGAAAGCTTTACCAGTGTACACTGGTCTTTACCAAGGACAAACTTCTAAGCAATAAAAACAAACTTGAAACTTCATTGCCTATGACATTTTTATTTCTCTACGTGAGCGTAAATTGTTTTTTTAAATTCACTTCATTTAACGTTGGTTTGCAAAATTAAGCTAATAAACAGCTAATTGGGAGGGGGGGGGGACCATAATGTAGACAGCGCAACGAAATTTAGCCCAGTGGAGCTAAGAGTCGAGTTTAGTGAGGTAGGAGGACCCACCATGGTTGGGTCCGACGTGAAGAAATTTTTTGAAATTATATGTTGTAAAAGGGCTAAAAAGCATCTTTCAAACAAAAATTTACCAAATTACTATTGTGCTAAAAGAAGTGATAGTTTATTGAAAATATTATTGTTTATTGGGAAAAATAGGGAGGGGGATGTCATGCTAAAACTCTAGTGTTAGACGTTGGGGAAGGAAAGAAACGGCAACCTTTCGTTTCAGATTGCACTTAGTTGTGAATGACAGAAGGAAGATGTTGTTTTGATTGGGAGAATTTTTTTTCCTGAACAGAAATGTGCAGTTTCTTGTATCAAGAAGGCCATGTTTACACATCCAAAATTAAAACATTGCAATGATACAGAAAATGATTTACTGAATTAATGCAAATAAAAGAAAAATAATAAAAATATACGTGAAAAAGTTAGCAATTAGATGAAACGGTATCTTAACGATTTATTATGTTTTTTAGTTCATGCACTGTTAAAAAGTAATAGAAAAAATGATAAAAAAAATTTCTATCTTGACCAAAGTGAGGGACTTCAGCCCTTTATTCCCCCCCCCCAGTGAAGCCGTGCTTGTCATGAAAATAATTTACAACTTAAATTAATTTGCATGACTCAACCTTGCCCTCATAAACATATGCATCAATCATTGCATCCATTGGCTATGACTTTCGGTAAGAAATGCTTTCGCTTTGCAAATAACGGAGCTTTTCCTTACATACCTGTTCCGTTCTCTAAAATGCAATGTCAGGAAGGGAGGTTCATAACAAATACGATATTTCCATTTCAAAATTCCTAAACGGCTTTTTACGAACTTCAGAGGTGGCATTTCTGCGTGGCAATAAAGCTCTTCTAGGCGCCCTGCGAAATCTTCGATTGCCCTGCGAAATCGACTATTTTTTGGATTGGGGGGGTGTCACACCCCCCCCCACACCCCCCGGTAGTTTCGCCCCTGCACTAAGGGCCCGTTCACAAACTATTTTCAAATGAAAACGGAGTCAAACTCAAACACCAAAAACGAAGACATTTGAATACGCTAACATCGGCAACAAATTACGTGCTTTGTAGCACACCAAATCTCAAAAATTTTGAAATTGAGAATTCACAATGGACTGGTAGCTGTTACAACAAAGTTTTTCACGATTTACTTTTATTTAATTTCATTTATAATGACGCCATTTTGTTGAGGATTCGTGAACGCCTCTTTCCAAAAATGAGGCCACTAACAGCGTTCTTGTTGGAGAAGTGTGAACACCTATCGTATTCACAGCGTATTCATATGAAAACGGATTAGTGTGAGCGGACATCGTTTTCATGAATGAAAACGGAGCGAAGCGAATACGAAGTAGTGTGAACGTAGCCTAAATCAAAGCTAAAGGAAGCAAAAATTGATTTCTCAGTTCACAAAGCAATGTGACCCAGACTCTTATCACTGAGTTGAGCAAATGATTAGAAAAAAGTTTTTATAGATAGACATAAGTATTAATCAACCGATTAGACTATCAGGACCAATCCTTTCATTTTTACAAACTTCCAGAAGCCTCTTAGAGATAATAACTAAATAGAGACTTTTAAAGATTGTACATAGGTTTTTCCTTAAATTAAAACTGATTATTTGGATTTTCGAAACCAAATGCAAAAGCTGGTTGACTTACAAATTTTGGGTGAGAGCCTAGTCGGGCCACCTGCAATTTCAAGATTTTTAACTGAGCTGAACGTAAATCCTTTAAATCTTTATCTATATCAATGGAAACTTTATTTTTGCATACATCATACATTTCCCTAAGACTCCTTTGTGGGTTTTTTGGTCAGTTTCAATGTGTCATAATTACATGGACTAAGTTTAACCACAATGTTTTCCGTGTACTACCACTGTAATAAAGTACTCACAACACTTCCAGGTGCGGTAACAATTCCAGAGATGACTTACTGATGCTCTTCAATCTGTTTCCGTGTAAATATCTGCAAAATGAAATGCATTTATTTAGAACATGCCACCTACAGTTGTTTATTGAAATGGGCTGGAAAGCTAAATGGTTTTATAAGAGATGTAAAGATTTCTTTTAAAAAACGTTATGTGCCAAAATTGAACGTTTTACCATAATAACATTGTTGTCAACATCCACCAAAATCGAAAACTGTTTATAAACAATTAATCTCAAAACAATATCAATTGAAGGACAAATTGCTATTAGACAGTTTAGGAAAAAGAACTCGAAATATTTTACAGATTTTCACCGAGAGAAACTTTCACTATGTAGCTATGACGCAAAATACAGATAGGCTGATCAGCTGTTTCGTTTTGTAGCAACTAGAGTACGGAGTTTTGTTTCATCTAGAGCTGAACTTTGTGTTCAAAATGTGAGAGAATAAGTAGGCCTGGCCTAATGGCTAAACAGAATTGGTTACTTTACAAAGCAACACAACATGCACCAACTTCTACTACAACGTTTTTGAATGTTAAGCTATGGAAAACCACAGGCGCTTATCTATTTAATGATAAAGAAATTAAAATATCAGAATGTAGACTGCATGGGAGCAATTTGAAGATGAAACCTTAACAAGATCGGTTCAGTGAAGAGAGCATTTGCCTTGATATCATGCAATATTTGAGATGATTGGGATCTTTCCTTTCAAAGAATATTACAATTTTGAAAGAATCCTTAAGTGCATTTGCTATTCCGGTTGAAACCAATGGCTCATCTTCGCTGCATGCAGACACCTGTACTGGATTAGACCAGGGTTAATTTCAGTCCCGATGATCGATTAACGAGATAAGATCAGTTGAAGATATGAGCTGTGTGTTAGAAAATGTTATTAGCGTTTAGATTATCATGTGCGCATCGATCGAATTTCACTACGCATGGGTCGAATTTCACTTCGATGACGGGTCTTTATTGTGATCCTGTTTGTGCGAAATGAGCCACAGGGTCAACAAGACGGGGGAAACAGCTTTGAACCATCATGATCATCAACATAATCATCATAATAACTGTCATCAAAGCCATCATGAAAATCATCATCACAATGATTATCAGTATCGTTGGTAATAATAACGAGGCATCATTTTTGACGACATCATAACAATAAACTTCGCCACATGCTTTCAGTAATTCGATTTCGATAATATAATATTTAAAATAAAACAGACTTGCTACATCAGCCGCCAATTGCTATATTAGGGTGTATGACATTTGCACTTGATTTTAATCGTATGTGTTGCCCATATGATTCTCTCAAAAAATTCTGGTTAGCCACAGAAAGCTATCCGATTATTTCTACTTAATGTAGGCTACTATGAATGAAACTGTATTGGTATTTTCATCATAGAATTTACAGTGGTTAAAAAGCCCCAAACAAAGAGTGTAGTTCTCAAAAATCCCCCCCCCCACCCCCTCAAATAAATTTATCCTTTCTAAGGCACACGTCAAAAGCAACAAGTTTTGCAAATGATGGATATGAAGTCCCGATAGTTTACCATTTCGTCAGTAGCATTTGAAATTCATAAATCAAGATAATATTATTAACTAGTAAAATGTTGCTTAGATTTTACACCACACTCTCAGCACCATAAAAATTGAACTTTGATGCAGGAATCCTTGATTACCACAGCAATGTTTTTGCTTCCTTTTTAGGATTAATCCCCAGCAAAACACTTGCTTGGATCGGTCATTTGTTGCCAAAACAAAACTTGATTCCTTGATCTCCTTTTAAGTAGGGATTTTATTGGCCAAATAGATTACATACGTTTAAAAACACATTGCTACGTTTGCATTATCAACAATGAATATGTCAATGGGAGGGCGAAAAAGCAGATGGCAATTTCAGCAATAAAAATGAAGAGGAATCATATTGTCTCTTCTGAATAAAATAGGCCCACTGAGCTTTGCAAAACCCATGGAAGTGATGATGATTTCTCGCGTTTTCCTTGTCACTTGGGTTTTTAATGAGTAATTATGGAGCTACGGACATAAACGCCAATGACGTCCTAAATCAAATGGCACAACTTGCTATATTTTCTTTTATCATTCCGTAAACAAGTTTGTACAAAGCTTGTCTTCATTGATACTTCATTTGCTTCGCTACTTTCACATTCTTTTTATTAGAACAACCCTTATAAGAAACACCTGGGTGATACTTGCCAAAAATAGGAACAACGTAAAAAACAAAGCAGGTTGAAATTCAACAAAACATATGAAACAAAATACCAACAAAAACCTCAAAAATTAAAGAATAATATTATTAACTTTATCAAGAACAGGTTATGTCCGGACACTACTATGCACAGGGAATCAATTAGAAAAAAGAAACAAAATAAAAACACGTTTAGCTGAATTTATGCGAAAAAATAAGAAATGCCAGGCTAAAACTGGAGTCAAATGTTCTCATAAAAAAGCGTGCACGACAATAAAAATTCAAATATGAGTAGAAAAGTTTTTTCACTATGCATCAAGTTTTTCCCCAGATATCAAATAGACCCAACGAGGCGCGAATTATTTGCTGATGTCAGCTCTTATCTTTACGCGAAAAATCATCAGCTCCATTCACGAAAATTTGAGTTCACACCAAGTACAACTTACAGGAATTTGATTTAAAATTATTCCTTTAAACTATTTAAAAATGCTCTTTATCATCGCCACAAACCTACCGAGAACGCAATTTGCCATCCTACAACAAATCTTAAAAGAAAACCTCTTGAAAACGATTCATTTTGTAAGAAATCCCAACTCAGAAACAGCCTGCTTCGACAGCCTGAGGTGCAAGTCGGTGATGTCTCTTATGTTTGCATACACGGACAACAAAATATTCTACCTTTTGAGCTTTAAATCTGATCTAAGCCCCGCAATGTTTGTAAATCTACTTCGGCTGTTTGATAATTCTCATTCTCGAATATTGTAATCTACGTTCGTTCAATTTAGTTTTATAAACAAGAGTGGATATCTCGTGCAAGCGGAGAATTGTGTCCCATTTCTACAAACATTTTGACTAAAACTTGCACATTAAAATACATGTTCGGTGGGTTTTCTGAAGGAGGTTTCCTTGAGGTGTATAAAAAGAGCTATGTTTTACTTCTTCTAGACAGACCGATTCAATTCCAATAGAAGAAGGAATTTTAATCATTTTACAACTGAAAACAGCTGTGCAATTGAAAATGAAAACTTACTGGTAAATATTTGAATGAGAGGAAAACTGGATGGCAACTTTGAAAAGAAATGAAATGTTATGCAGTATGTGAATAGTATATTTAGAGGCATTAGGGGGCGCCGAACGACTAAAGGACAAGGGGTTTATATAGTTTGGACTTGCTAATTTGAACATAAATAAACTTTATATTTAGCGCCCAGAGACAAATCTGAAAAAAGAGGGAGATGCAATGTTTTGAATGAATTAACATATTATGACGTAACAGTACTTAGTTAGTTGTAGAGCACGAGACCAAGGAAGAGAATGTATAATTTATGTCCACATGTTTAGGCCCTTTTTAACAACATAACAAATACAAGGGCATACATAGCGTCTAGAGATTTTTTCGCTACTGATTTTAATATTCAAATCAGGTAAAGTCTTTTTTAAAATGGGCTTATCAAATCTATTAACACAGGTACTAGGACGGCAAAGGGGAGCTTTCCAGGGTCTACTCTTCTACGTCCCTGATTATAAATCAGTACAAATTAAAGAGAAGGAGAGGAAATAGAGAATTCCTTAACAGCCAAATACACAATTTGTTAAGTTACATTCAACAAGATCGATGCATTTCTTAACTTATCGGCGTCGTCTCCAAGATACTTTGACACACGAAATTATTAGTTCCCCACGCAGGGCACCAAATGTTTAACTGCTGGTACGTTGAAAGCCGAGAGGTTGACTTTTGATTCTTTGAAAATTGGATACTAACATCAAACTAAAACTTGAAACAATCAAAGCATTAGACTAAAAAGGGCTGTATATATTCGACTTTCGCCATCCATGCTTAAAAAAAGCGACTTATTATCGCTTAAAACTCCGCTTCCTACACTCTCATTTGTAATGCAATAATTATAGACCCTTCTCCAACACATCACTTTTTACGGTCGCAGGTAGAAAACTGCAGCCTAGTCGATTGAACTCTTTCCCCAATTTGAACTGTTTTTTGAATCTAGGATATTACATTAAGAAAGACCCATAGCATGTCGGGAATAAATGCTAGCACCCAAACTCTATATTTAACTGTTTTATCTTGGTTTATTGCGGCGTTTCTTATTTATTTTTCAGATATTCTCACGACGGGTAATACCGCACATTAATAAATAAATAAACTTAAAAACAAAATATTTGACTTTTGCTCTGAAATGATAGCGTTCAGATAATCAACGAAATAGGAAAGGCCCCAAAAAGGTCATACTATTGTAGCCTGAAAAAGAATTATAATGAAATTTGATTCATGATGGCATTATGGTGCGATTTTTGAGGTAACGATTATGACGGGATTAAAACCATAAACATATTCCAGGTCATTCGTGCGTCAATGGCCATCCCTATAATTTTTGTACAATATAAAATCAACACAAAGTTCTCATAAATATACAATTCAATTGCAATTTACCAATGGTAACTCGTGCACTCATGCAAAATTTAGGCTTTTTGACTCCGTTTTTTTCTTCCACATGGAACCACAACTTCAAAGGAAGAACAAATCACACAAACGCAGAAAAATCCCCTGCACTTCCATTGAAGATCCGATAATCGCCCATGCGGACCTAATTCAATTCCTGGGAAACCAACCAGTGGACAAATACAAAACTTACAAAGGAGATTTAGCCCAAAACCGAAAGCTGGTCAAGAAAACTGTTTCCTTTCGAAGCTTTGATAGCTCTATTGATGCAGTTTGAATGCGTTTGGAGCGGAACTCGACTGATCCTTTCATTTCCTAAGTTTTGTCGTAAAATAAAATTAAGGATTGAGTGGTTTTATTCTGAATATGG